CCATGACACAGAAAGGCATACAAACACAAAGACAAGTGTCTGATAACACTATATTGCCATTTAAGCCTGCCTTTTAACTACTTCCGACTTTGTTCGTCATCCTACGTCACTCAGTGGCCGTATTAAGGCAAAGACATCAGCAGAAGTTTTACAAAGATAAGGAAGTATATATCTTCTTAGATTTTTGTCTGAGAAATAAAATAATCGTTTTCAGTCATAATTAGTCTTCAGTCTCATTTTGATAAAATGAAATGTGAGAAAATCATAATGTGAACCCCAGTACTGAACCCTACTTTTAATCTTTAAATGCGTAACTGGTTGATATTGGCTACACAAGCTGATTGATGAATTGTTCAGTTACGTAATTACCAACCCACAGGTCTGTGGTGAGTATTTCTTTGGACTGGCTCATGCCTCACTGTCCACAGAACGTCAGCTGGAGTATGTGAAGATATTTAAAATCACAGAACGATGGACTGACAACTTTCTTTTACCTGTGCTCCCAGGCTCAGTGACAGGATGGTGTCCTCAAAGGCAGAGTGAGTGTCCACATGAGGAGGAATACCTGAAAATGTCAGAAACATGTAGCATTAAAATAGTTGGTCCAGTCGAAATGAATCAAGTTGCTTTTAACTATACATGTTTAGTTTTTTGAACTTCTGTGTGGGGTTTCTGATGGACACCATTGAGCCTTTTGTGATGTGTCCTCAGATTATTTTAGTTATGAATTGGCACTATAGAAACAAAACCAAATTTAATTAATACTCAAATCATTGTGTCTTTTAAAAATAAATTTGACTTTATGTGCTTGAGTTTGACAAAAAAAAAAGCATCATTAATAACAAATTATTTTATCAATATCCTTATTTCAGCCTTAAAATGCCAGTACTGTAAATCTATTATAAACAACTAACAGGAACCTTTTCATCAGCCCTCATAGATGTATGTTGGAAAGCTTCTGCTGCCACCTTGTGGTATAAGTCAATAAAAGAGTTGTTTTAGTAACCACAGCATAGTGACTGGACCCAAAAAACCCAGTAAGTCTAGTCTTTCCCTTCCTCTCCACACAGACAGTGTAGCAGCAGCCTCTGAAATACATAAACCACCTCACAATATTTAAACATCTGTATTGTTAGATTCCTATTGTTCCTGCAGCTCTCTACAAGGACCCATTACAACTCCATATATGTTTAAATCCCTTCATTTTCTCCATGTGGTCGGTCACGTTTACATGGCCTTAATGGTGACCTGTGAACATTTAATTATCTCAGTTTTTCCGAGGCTGTATGTGATAAGGTGATAAGGTAAGTCTTTAGAGGCACGACTGGAATAACTCACCCTGTCCAGACTCATACTGGTTGACCGTCAGCTGGTCTGGCATGGCGTTGACGTGTTTGTTCTTCACACACCGCTCCAGAACAGGTAGACACTCCTGAGGAATACCTGGACACACACACACACACACACACACACACACACACACACACACACACACACACACACACACACACACACACACACACACACGATCAGTAACAATGTAAAATTTTCTCCACTATTACAAAGAGAAGCAGTCATGATGTATTTATCTTATAGCACTGTCCAATACTTACAGGGGCAAACAGAAAAATCTGAGGTATTTAACTGCATTTTATATGTAAAAGATAAACTATTTAAATCTCTCTAAACTGAGTCCAAAAAAGTATTGATAGATGATAAATCTCTGCTTGACAATAAGCTGCGTAGTGACTTTCTGCACTCCCACTGGTAGTATCTAAAACAGACACTGCTGAGGACAGCACAGCACATAGTGTCCCAATATACAAGCACTGTAATCACGGTGAGTAAATTGTTATTGTAAAAGATTGGAATAGTGGCCAAACCTACGAAAATATGACCCATAAAACCCAGATTCTAATAAAAAAAATACATCTGGATTAAAAAGGTGCAAGCTTACCGACAGGTAACGGCTTGTCTTTATCTACGTTGTTGTTGTCGTAGCGAAATTCAAAGCCATAATGTTTGACTCTTCTGTGCTTCAGAGCTTTCTGAGCTAAAAGACATTAGAATGAAGTTAGCAAGTGAAGTTCCTGGGTGAACTTTAAGAGACGTTCAACACAGCAACTCAACCAGAACTTAAGAACCAAACACAAAACAGACAGAAGACGTTACGCAGCCCCTCACCAGGGACATCATCATTAGTAGACGACCAGTCAACGGCAGCAAGCAACAGAGCTTCTTCTTCCGGAGACACAAAATCCTCCACCAGGACTAATCCCTCAGGCAAAGGGACAGAGGCCTCCTCCTCACAGGTTACTGCACACACACACATTAACAGAACATACAGTAAGCGTCACGCTACTTGCTGAAAGAATAAGGTTTCTTATCGGACATGATTTATCTGACCTTCATCCAACTTACTGTTAAATTAAAAAGGTGAAGAATGCTTCAAACAACTACAGCAGTTCCTACAGTAATCGATGGGTGTTTGAAAGACTATTGTGTAGGATTTAGTGGCATCTAGTGGTGAAGTTGCAGAGTGCAACCAACTGAATAATGTTTGCCTTCCAAGTGTGTAGGAGAAACTACATAGCTGATGAAAAAAATCCCTATCTAGAGCCGGTGTTGTGTTTGTCTATTCTGGGCCACTTGGCTGTCACACGTGGCGCTGCTTCCTCTGTAGATAAAAATGTCTCATTCTAATGTAACGAAAGCACAATGATTCCTATTTTCAGGTGTTTATACACTAATGAAGACATGCCTATGAATATTATGTTACATTTCTGCCAATAGATCCTCTTTAATGTTAAACACTGGACCTTTAAGGTACCTGAGTCGACAAAACTGAGGTAGAGTGTGACACCGTTCTCTCCACATTGCAGCTTGTGGCCATTAAGGTGGATGTGGGCTTCCCGAGCACTCTCGTCAGATCTGGAAACAGAACAACAGTGACAGTGGTGTGAGTTTTAAACCAAAAATCTTCCAGAAAGGTTTTAAAGGTTTAAATAATATATATAGTACTGTCCATGCAGCGCCTGTACCTGTATGTGACAAAAGCATAGGGTTTGTGAGGGTGCATGATCAGCGTCTCCAGCTCTCCCATCTCTTTCAGCGCTGCAGACAGATCCTCCCGAGTAACGCCGTTCCCCAGGCCGCCGTTAGCCACCACCAAACTCTGCGGAGGAGACAGTAGACTGGTTGGTTTTTCACAGACACAACAATAACTGACAAGACGACTTCCGAATACGCCTGAGGGTCTGAACCAGTGACACAACCGGTCTATGAAATCCTACAGCACCAGGCTGGCAGTCTGCTGAACACCTCACAGCCACCCAACTCACTCCTTAGTCAACGTATATCATGTTTTATATGTTTGTCATCTTATTTTAATGCTTGTTTTCAGCCTTTTTCACAGCTGAAGATACAACTTAACGTAAAACTTATTGTAACCACTAAGCCTTCATTATTTCCCAATAACTACAGTCCAAAGCCTCATGCACAAACTTTACAGTGAGTTCCTTTTCACTTCTCATTTGTTAATTTTTCATTCTTTTGAGTTTACAACATATATTTCTTCATTTGCCATCTTATGACACCCCTTTCCTCACTTCCACATGGCCTTGTTCTGATTTTTTAAAGATGGTGCTGCTGTCATTATATTTAATGTGTCGTAATTAATTCCAGTCTGCAATAACACAATAATAATAGTTAAATAAATACTATCACTCTAATACATCGACCTATATGCTGTGCATACTGTATATACTGTCATATCCACCTACCTAATGTACATAAAAAAAAACCTGCATGTAAAATATTTATTTTAGCATCCATTACACTCTGTCGACTGTCTTTGTTCATATATATAAATGTAAATATTCGTCTATTTTGTTGAGCTTGTTGTTTTTTATGTTCAGTCTGTGTTTGCACATTGAGATCAGGGTCAGACTGGAGTCCCATCCCCTGTATGTGTGCACATACCTGACCAACAAAGTGACTCTGAAGACAGTAAACAGACAGGTGTCCTTATTATAGTTTTATATGACTGAAATCAGCAGATAGAAGCTGATATTAAGACAATACATACAGAGTACAGACAGATACACTTGCATTAAACTTCACATTGTAGCACATTCATGTTAGAAGTCGAAGCAGGGAGGTGTTCACTAACTCTCGTCCCTGACAGCTGTCACTTCCTGTTGTTGTTGTTGTTGTTTACCTTTGTGGGCTGCGATGTTGTACTGATTCCTTCATGTTTCAGCAAAGTGTGACTGGCTTTTATCTGTTTTCGGAGAACTTTCTTCTCCTCTTTACTCCTCCTGACGGCCTTCACGTTGTTTTCCACACCAGGATCCATGGTACGTCTCTTTATTGTGTCCGGGTGCAACAAGCATTAAACCCCGATCGTTCCCGAGGACTCTTCAGAAAAGGATGGAAGCAGCGGGGAACCCTTCCTCCTTTTGGGTTAAAGTTATCCGGATTAAAGTCACTATGTAGATTGTGTATGTGATTATAGCATGTTTAAAATTATTATGATTTCATTTTTTTGTATATAGAAAAAATGACAGTATCACTACAGCAGTAGGATAATGTGCATTGTGTACTAGGCTACACTGTGCCCCAGTTGTATTCGTGGAGGATTGATCACTTCTGACACTCAGATGGGTTGTTAAGGTCACTCTGAATCTGTTGGATGTGTAAGCAGGTCATAGTGGTGCTAATATGGCAGAACTGTGTGTCAGTCCTTTGCCCCTGGCAGTCAAAAATTGAGTAATGCAGCTTTAACATTTTTTATTTTATTTTTTTCCAGCAAAGCCAGAAGGAAGCCAGTCAGTCAGTCACTCATGCAGACACTTCTGTGTGACACAAAGAGTGGTCAGCCTGTAGGATATAAAACATAAACTGAAACAATAAAAAACAGCTAAATTATTTATTTAGTTTGTCACCTTTTACACATTTATATAGCACAGCATCGTACACCTGAATAAAAGGACAGAAGTCGTCATGATTTCATGATAGAAAGAAAATATAGGTAACTGAATGTACATTGTTAACATAATAAATAACTAGTAATATGCTGCTGAAAATATATTGCTACACTGAAGGCCTGAGGGTACAAAATCCATAAGAAAATTAACATAAAAAATAATTACTTAATTAATTTACATAAGAAATTAATGAGCAGCATTCATAAGATGAAAGAGAATAAAGAAAGGAATGTTTCTGTAATGAAAACAGAAAATTCCAGGTTGAATAAATCCATCCATTTTGTTCCGTGTGAGTCATTTCTTTCAAATCTTGCTAACCAGAACCTTGACAGCCCTGATGGCATCAGAGCACTACTGTTTCTTTATCATTCCCAATTCAACCAGAACCTGTGTGAGACAGTGTGAAATGTTTAGTGTTTCACTGCTCTCTATCTTTGTTACTCATAATGTGTCTCTAGTGAGATTATAACACTTTTCAGTCTTTGTACTTTCCATAGATAACACTGCTATTTATTTCCTAGGGTGTAATATCCCAGCAGGGACATATTGTTATGGGCTGGTATATATCTATAGTATCAAGCTAATGATAGGATTACTTGTGCTCTTTTTCTGTAAGTGGTCTTTCTTTTCTCTGTACTGAACTACCCATAGCTCACTTGGTATATCCAAGCCTCACTGACGTCCAGCGTTTTGCCCTGTGGCTCCAATATATAGGACCTAAACCCTGATGGCAAATCCATGCTGCATGCTTTGCTAATCTTCTAACAAAAGACAGACAAAAATGCTCCAGGAAAGATTCTATAGGCCCTGCTAACTTGATACTAAGGGATATAAATGTAAGTATATAGGGGGGCTATCCACGGGAGCCATTTCATGTTCATCCGTATCATTCATCCATCATCAGACTCCTCTCAAATTCTGGCAACTGAGGATAATCTAGTGATCCCCGAGAATGAAAAAGTATTATCACAATGGGCTGCTTGGTTTACTTCTTATGCATCCTTTTAAACAAAACACAATACCACACATCAGGACAGATGCTCAAATCCTGTGTATGAATTCCCTTCTACAGCCTGATTAATGACTCTACAGCCCCTCTGGGTGGATGTCGTTGTGTGTGTTTGCGTGCATGAGACATTTGTGTGTGTGTGTGTGTGTGACGGTGTCAGTGTGTGCCAGTGTGTTTTGGGTGGGTTGTGTAATGAAGCCCTCACCTGTCTACAGCCATCTCAGTAATTACTGTGCCAGGCTGAGCTGTTGGCCAGTGGTAACCCTTCGTCGTCTTAACAGCACACTCAGTTTAGTCTACAAAACAACAGCTGGTCGGACAGGAGACCATGGCTGCCCTCTCCAACATGAACACAACACTCTGCTCCAGCTTGTTTTACAAAACAGTGTAATAAAGTCTCTTTCTTTTATGAGCATTGGATGATTCCCAGAGACATCAGTCAGGTTTATTGTTAGCCATATGAATCATGGCCAGTACCAGCAACAGTTAAAGCTTTTGCCGCCATTTCTAATCATTTCCATCCAGTGTTTGTGATAATCCTACAAAATGTTATCACAATTATATTAAAAAGGAGCAAGATGGCGTGATTCAAGAGACAGTAATCAGTTCTACTTGCGTTTTATTCTATTTTCTGTCTTAGTAAACCAATGTCTGATGGCCAGTTTTGTTGCAATTCGTTACCCTGAGTCAATTTGACTCTTGTTTGTTCCTAAATGTCTTGTAAGTAGTCGGGACAAAAAATAGTCTCACCACCAAGTCCATTTAATAGCTGCTCAAACATATCACACAATTTTCCTCAGCACATGAAGCAGTTGATGAAAATGTACTTTTTTCTGAGCAGTTTCAGGTCTGCTCATCAAAGTAAGAAAGAAAAGAAAGAAACGCTGTACCTCATCCTCCCAGTATAATTTTAACAATATATTTCAGAGATGGTCAGCCATTCATGAACTTGTGAATAATGAATGTGAAGAAGGGAGTGTCAACTTTCTGCCAAGTGGAAATGTCACTTTAAGGTTATGAACAGGAGATTAGGAATATATTTCCCTTGTTGGTGCTCAAGGGCAGCTTCACCTTACACATCAGCCAAGCTCTGAAAAAGCAATGTAAAGGTGAGAACTAGAGTGGAACCACTTATGTACCCTGGAGCATGCCATCACCCTTTGAAATGCAAGGCCAGTAGCCAGAGACCAAACTCCTGTTGCTGGCATCTTTGTATTGTAATTAGCTGGAGACTGCATGATGGAGACAGATGGATAAAGAAACCAGATCCTGCTTTTTAAAATAGTGAGTCTGATCTCTACCGCTCTCTGGGGACTCTGTGTAAGCAGATATCGGTCTGTTCTTGGAGAAATATGAGTCATACTTAGACTGATAACCAAAACTGATGTGGTGAAACAGCCAGGTAAATTTTGTGCAGAAATATATAAGCTGAAACTGCTTGAGGTGTTTTCCATTAGATAATGAAACAATTAAATAAATATAAGATATATATACATGTGTATTTCTGAAATGTGAAAGAGGCTTTATGACATACATGCATATAAGTAATTCTCAGATTACTGTTCTTTTTGACCTCTTTCCAGACACCAAAACAGCTGAAATATTATTGCTACATGTTTGTTTCTAGAGCCAATTCAATTAAAAAGGAACATTACACAGATACCAAGAGAGACACATCATACAATAACACTGAAGAAATTAAAAGATCAGTCTATTAATTGACTAATACAGCCAGCTAACAAGGGATATAAGACAGATATAGAAGTTATTAGTAGAGGTCTTTGGCCACAGATTAGATGTTCAAACATAATATTTCAACTGGCCAAAATATTAAGAGGGTTGAGCTTTGTGTTTGATGATCCATGTGGTGTGTGTATCATCTCTCTGTCAGGATGACAGTCAGCTGAGATGAATTCCTGTCTCCCCTCCAATCATTGCTGCTGTAGTGGAAAAGAGTTTGACACTTTAAATAAGCAAAGCTTAGGGCTAAATCATTTTTTTGTGCCAGCTATTTGTAGACTAATGTGCAGGCCAAACAACTGGACATTTTGTTTTTTATTGAATAAGGGAATTTGGGCAATGCTTTCCCCAATAGCACACTTTCTGCATCAAATGTTGTATTTTTATTGGTTGTCAGATTTTATGTACCTTGGAAATTACAGCAGAAGTCTGTATTTTGGTGTTAATATACAAATATATGAATGCTAATTTATATCCCTTTTGAGCTACTGTATTATCATAGAAATACCCAATGTAGAGCTTTTTAAGGACATTAAAGTAATTGATTGACATCTTGGAAAATAAGTTTGTTGATAGTTTTTCTACGGATTAAACAAGTTATAAAGATTTAACTGTAGAGCTCTGGAGGTACTGGTAGGTAGGTTTTGTTACCTTTGGACAGAGTCAGGCTAGCTGTTTCTCCCTGCTTTCAGTCTTTATGCTAAGCTAAGCTATTCCTGTCTAGCTTTCAGTGTAGAGGCACAGTGTTAAGCCTCTTCCAATTAAAATAAGTTAACTAAATGGACTTCGGTATAAATTGAGTTCAGCTTATGTTTGGATTGATACTGTTCCTGTATCTGTACACAATGAAGTTACAGCCATCTTACGTTTATGATGTAGCAGCACCACTGTAGACCTTTCTAGAGCATGCTGGTTGTAAATCTATGGTTGCAAAGTAGAGAGATATTGATTTGTCCACTATTTTAGATTTTACTATACCATGACAGTCACAGTTGGCAAACATGAAACTGTCACCAAACCAGCTTTCACTTGATAATAAACAGTAGTCGCACTGCATGCACATATATGTACGTATACAAACACACACACACACAACACACACACACACACACACACACACACAGTGTCCCAGAATGTGTGGAATGGTGTCTCTGAGGCCTTGTTGACACCCCTCTGTCTCTCCACTGATTCAGAGGGTGCCAGCACTTTTCTATCTTAAACACACACACACACACACACACACACACACACACACACACACACACACACACACACACACACACACACACACACACACACACAGCTGTCAGAGTGGGCCGTGGTCCATCCCGCACAGAGATGCCTGCACACCTCGCCCTGTTTTATTCAATCACCCCAGCACTGGATCTCTGTGACAATGGGAATCCCTGGGTCAAATAGCTATTGGGCCGACGCTGGCAGAGCAGCAGGGTGATAAAATGGCAGCCGTTTTTGATCTATTAAATCCTCTGGGAATGACCTTGGAATCCTGCGATGGAAAGGTTTCAGGGAGCCGTGCTCGTACACACTTTGTCCTGCTTTGACCCTTCTATGTGTATGGGAGAAGGTGTGTGTGTCAAGGGGGTTTAACATTAGTTCAGAGATAACACCATTGTAAGCAGCTGTCAAGTGTTAGATGAGCTGAGAGGTTCGCTGTGGTGAGCTGTCAAAATCCTTTTCTTAGTGCCAGCATTACATAGAGGAGGAAGAATGTAAAAATACAGTGGAGGTACACAACCACAAAAGAAAGAAAGAAAATCACCACTTTATAATTAGCCTAACTATCTATTTAAAGGAATCACTCTCACACTCATCACTCTCATGATTGTACAGTAAATATGAAGCCACACCCAGTTAGCTTAGCTTAGCATTTAGACTGGAAGCACAGGGAAAATAGCTAGCCTTGCTCTGTCCACAAGTAACAAAATCCTCCAGCACTTCTAAAGCTCACTAATTAACACATGATATTTTGTCTGTTTAATAGATACTAGCACAGGTACAGTGCTAAAAGTATTTGCTTTAGGTTCAGTGGATTTAATTTCCATTGATTGTCCGAGCTGCTAGGCAACCTGAATGCCCTGGTCGCCACTCAGCAAGTAAAGGATGCAGGCCTATCTGACACGCAGGCGAGCTCTGCAAGCTTTCTGTTCTGGTGTTGTCCGGTTGGTCCTGTCCCGCTCATACTTCAGGGATTAGAGCTGTCAATCATCATTCCCCATCACAGTTTAAAAAAAGGATTGCTCTGCTCTCTTTTTTCTCTACTCGTTCCCTCATGTCGGCCCACCCTCTTGAATATGGCCGCCAACCAAAAATGACAAATGACAAACTAAGAGTGAAAATGAAAAGGTGTGGGTTTACAGGTGGGGTTTATGTGCAGGGCTATTTGTTGGCTGAGAGCACTGACTTGACTGGCAAACTCTGATGACAATACTCTAGGAAGTCACCACACCCGTCCAAGAAAATAGTCCTGTACATAACCCCCGCAAAGCTGCAGTCACACTAGCTTTTTCCCCCTGTTTCCAGGCTACATGCTAAGCTAACCACCTGCTAGCTGTAGCCTCATACTTACCAAACAGACCTGACAGTGGTATCTATCCTCTCAACTACCTCTCGGCAGGAAAGCAGTCAAACAAAATGTCGTACTATTTCTTGATGTATGCAGATGGCGATCGATCGGTGCAAGTTTGATCAAGTACATTTTTAGAGGTTTGGCAAAACTTTGTTTAAAAGTTTCAGATTTTCCAACATGAGAGCTATAAAAAACAAATCCTACACTTCACTACAAGGCTTGTGTTGGTGCCTCTTTGCCTATTAGCCTGTCTGCACTTCACTGAAGGGAGCAGAATCTGATTTAGCCCGGTTGCCTGTTGTCTGCTGATCCACCGGTTAAGAGAAACTGATTTAGGAAGGATGTCAACCGTTTAGAGCAACACCGCCACACGACCTACACAACCTACACAACCTTTCATCAGCAGCCAGGAAGAGCACTGACAGTAACTGAAGTGCAGTGGCAAAAATGACTGCATATGTCGTCATACTCTTTCAAAGAACATAAATAACAATGGGAAGAGGTAACATTTCCTGACAGGATGATGAATAGTGGCATCAGCTGGATTTAAACCTAAATGTCTCACATGTTGCATTTTGGAGAGGTTGCTCTGTTATTCTTCTTCTTTTCCCCTGTGAATAGCTGCTACCCAGATACTGAGTGATACTGTTACAGTTTCCTATATCCATCAGAAGATGTGAGTATTATGATTGGAACAACTGTAATCCACCTAGTATCTGCAATAATGTTTTATAAATAACCCTGAGTCCCTCTTCTGTTGTTCTTACTGTGTGTGTGTGTGTGTGTGTGTGTGTGAGAGAGAGAGAGAGAGAGAGAGAGAGAGAGAGAGAGAGAGACTCTGTATGGTTGTAGATGGGAAACACTCCAATGGATGAGATTGTGGAAAAATAACACACTCTATTGGTTGTTTATTTGGTGTGTGACATCAGTCTGTGTGTATGTGAAACATGGGCGGTCCGCTGAGGATGGCTACTTTAGGAGAGGGCCCTTCCCCTGGCGACCAGAACAGGCTGGACAACCACAAGAAGATCAGCTGCTAGTAGATGCCACAGAGGAGAAGTTTCCAGTAAGAAGACAAGCCATCAGAGGTCAAGATAAAGAAAGGCTGTACTTGGAGCACAAAAGAACAACTTCCTGTTTAAAGTGAGATCACTGCCACAGGAGGAAAGGTAACAGCTCAATGACTGACATCTGATTTAGTGTTATTTATTATAAATAATGTTGGGAGAATAATGTATGCTTTCAATTCAATCAAACCTTTTCAAAAAATCTGCAACTGACAACTAAGAAATGCTATGAAAAATGAAAAAATAATGAAATATGAATTAACAAATTTGCTCTACAATACTTTCTTACCTGCTCTTGTATTAGTGTATTATTATGTATGCTTTGTGGGTGTGTGTCATGTCCCATGTGTGTGTATATGCGGGGATACTGTGGCCCCTGTCCCTGTTGAGTGACAGTAACTGTGAACAGATGTAACAGCCCGCCTGAGTAGTGACTGATCCCTCTAATCTATGATAACAGGAACACACAAACACAGCACATGTGCCACTGTAGACACACACACACACTCATGATTATATTTTTAGAAGCCATCTTATTTGCCTTGGTCATACCTGTATTTCTGGAAATCTTAACTCATATATTTTATTGCTCACATCTAAGGTCCAGGACAGTAAAATCCAAATAAGGAGCACCACACCTCAGGAGAACACATCTACATTCTTCCTCCTCGCCTCCTCGTCAGCAGCACCCTCTCTCGCTCCCCATCCCGTCTGAGATACTGCCATGGACCGCTCGGCGAAGGAGCTGTTCCTCAACTTCATGATTGTCTTAATCACTGTGCTGCTGATGTGGCTGCTGGTGAAAACTTACCAGGACTGAACCGTGGAGCAACAAGAGAGGAGAAGAATGAGAGGCAGAGGAGATGGAGAGACACGTGTGGAGGGAAGCCAGCATGGTTACTGTAGGACTTTGCTGCTGATTGATTGATTCAGACGCAGTGTTTACATCTTTTCATTCTTTTAGTCTATGGTCACTGGTCTGGTCCAGAGCTCTAGTATTCCAGTGAGGTCAAAGAAAACCATGTGAATGTCCGAGCCAGATGAGCAGATTGTCAACGAAATGTTTTTGTTTTTAATTTGGCCTTGAATTTCTGGCAAGAGCCGAAGGGGAACTCACAGTAGATATGGGGAGGGAAAATAAAAAGAAATAAACAGGGGTTTGAGACTCTACTTTTTGACTGTGGAAGCCTTTTACGTGATGGCTAAAATAAAAATATGTGTCATTCATATGACCTTTGATACATTGAACCATGCTGTTGTGTCTATTGTTCTGTTTTTACTAAGTGATGAATGTGTCAAAAGCCAATACTGTATTCACTCATAGAAGGAGCCACCAACAGAAATAACGAAGGATCATGTTTATGTTCACTTCTTGCCATTAAACAGTTGGATTCTTTTTCTGTTTCATCACACCAACGTATTATGCATTTATGATTTACACCATGAAGCCCAATTTTTTCTCCTTCTAGGTCTCTGAAAGTTACTGTTGAAGCTGCGGAGCGTTTCTTCATGATTGACAGGTAAAGTTGCACATTTCCTTCAAACAAGCAGTTACTGAAGATACTCAGGTGATCTATCTAGTGGTCACATGTAGAATTGCTGTATACATCATGAGAGGAGAAACAGGGCATGCATGGATACATGACAGTCTGAAGCAGAATAACGGCAAGTAGTTTAAAGTGAAAATCCACCCAGATAATTAACACAGTATTGTGATTCTTTTAGTTGAGTTGTAAATAGTGCAATATAAATGAGCAGGACTCCAACAGCTAGAAATAATAAAAATAAAAAGGGAAAAGGAATATAATGGAAAAGCCCCATTTGCATTATATAAGAGACCCACATATAGATCCTCTTGAGGGCTGTAAGTGTTACATAACAAAGTCTCATTTTCTATATTATCACTGTAGGAGAGCGGATACATTTACATACACTGTGAGTTCTTTGGGTGAATTCTCCTTTTAAAACATACTGAGCAGAAAAAATATCCAGGTACTAAAATAGGATTTCCAAAATAGTCTTCTTCTCAATAGGGTTCCTCCATAGGAGGGACCACACTTTGATTGACACAAGAAAGATCCTATGAAAGCATGTGCTGAACACATATACAAAGTTAAGGATCAAATCTTTAAATAAAAAAATAAATTAATAATTTGGCTCAGGTGCTCTTGTGTTACGATGATCTGTGAGAGATGTGTTGTTAGTAGAAGACTTCACTCTTGAGCTGTCCGTCATGCACAGAGGCGACTCATGGGTACTTGCTTACATCAGTGACACCTGTAACACACATGTACATCCACTCACATGCGTTCATGAGTGTGTGTGTTTGCTGTGTATCATGCCGTGTCACCCCATGGGTCTCTGTATCTATTGAAGCTGATGAGCTGACAGTGGAACTCGGTGAGCGCTCTGGGCATAGGAGCCACCTCCTCCCATTGACTCCTCCCACTGTGGTACACCTGCACGGGTCACAAGAAAACACAAAGATCTTAGTAGAGGAATACCCTCCATCACCCCAACTTTAAATGAACTACTTAATTAAGTTCTGGGAGCAGGGACACATCTCAACCATCTTCTCCTCTTTGTCGATACTTCCCTCATATCATTAACCCTTTAATCTCCTACTGTATTGTTGTTGTCCGGTCATTGCTATGAATCAATAGCTTGATTAAACTGCTTAAACAAGCTTCTTTATCCCTATTACATTCTTTACTGTAAGGTGATACAATATTAATAATACACAGTATACATACTATGCATATGCAGTGGACATTCTATTGTGAACTACTGATCACTTCGTCCACATAGCTTGACAACAAAGAGCCCTTTTGCCAAGTCATCACATCAGATGGCTTCCACTTATTAACTATGACTTAGAGCACCATCTTAGTCCAAAAAAGCTGAAGTAGGGCAGCGTCTATGGATAAAAAGGTTCTTCCTACCTGAACTTCATCAGTGATCTCGTCAGGTGAGTAGTCTCCACCCAGGATGTAGATTCTGTCTCGCATCCCCACTGCTCCAGCATTGAACCCAGCACACTCAAAGGACCCTTCACCCTTCCACACACAGGTCTCTGGACAGAAACTGTAGACCTGGATGGGGAAAAAAAGCACAGTTAACTCTTTGTTTAACCCTTTATATAGTCCTGCTAGGGAAAAATACGCTACATAAAGCCGTTTTAATGCTTTCACAGTGCAATGCAGTGACTGACTCATTCATTTATCTGCTGACCTTATAAGTGGACAGGTCACAGAGGTGCAGTGTGTTGTTTATTGACACTGCCTTGACCAGTGTAGCATGAAAAAACTGGCCAAACTCTGCCATCAGGCGGCTCCACTGGTCCTTCTGGGCGTCGTAGCAGAAGAAACAGTCCAGTGAGGGGTTAAATGAGTCTGTGATCTCCACCTCTGATCCCAGAGTATAGATAACACTGCCACAAGCACTGGCCTCAGGGTAGAAGATTGCAGTGGGCAGGGGGCTGACTGAGTGCCACGTCTGGGTCAGAGGGTTGTAATACTCCACCTACAATATAGGAAAGAATTTGTAACTCAAACAAAATCTACACTCCCATTCCTAAGTTAGTAATGAAAAGGACATCTCAGCTGACAATGTGGTCTTAAACATATATAAAACAGACCTCCAGCAGATTGGGAGCTCCCCCTCTGGACCCCTTTGTGCGTCCTCCAATAACATACACTCGGTCCAGGCAGGTTACAGCTGTGTGCGTGGTTCTGGGCTTCAGCATGGCTGGAGCAGGCGTGCAGGTTAGGGTCACAGGACAGAAGCACCAAACCTCGTCTGTGGCATCGTGGAACGGCTCGGCCACGTGGAGACGTATTGCCCGGCAACAGTTCCCCCGGCAACCGCCTGTCACAAACATCTTAGATCCAGCGGAAAGATGAGAAGGTGGTTAACTTTTTCAAGCTATAACTGAGAGGATGATAAAAACATATGCAGTCTTTTGATTAATTAACACACAAATAAGGTTTGTTTGTTGCCTAATTTTACCCAACATGTACATTCCCTTACTGGTCAGGTGTTTCTCCTTCTTTTACCCCTGAGCTTTAAACCCCTAACAAAGATAAATCTCAGGGGTAAAGTTTATTTTTTCTGACTTTTCTCTCTTTTTTGTCTTTTTCTCCTGTGAAATAACTATTACCTCTTGAGTTCTCTAAAAAGCTTTCAAATAAACAATCTGGGATGGGACTTATGAGTTAAGTAATACAAGTTCACATTTTAGGGTTTGGCTCAATCCCGAAACGTACCTTCTCAGCGTAGGTGGTAAGGTAGGATCCCGGTGGGTCTGGTATTGTGGCTGTTCCCTCTCCATGCCCTGTTCCTAGCTCTTTCCACTGATCTGTTTCCAGACAGTAGCAGAAGGTGTGGCGGATCTCTCCGTTCTCCTCTGTCTTGTGGATGTAGATGTAGCTCTGCGTGGTGGCCGGCCTGGCATCAGTGAGCAGGCCGCTGTACTGATCCTGTCGGCTCTGAGCCTCCGAGAGCAGGGCGAGACAGGACTCGTTGTCAAAGAGGAGCGGGTCTGAATCACGTAGAGCCTGAGAGAGCAGGGGTAACACGGGAAGGGTGAGACAATCACAAGACATCACGAGAAACTGCATAAAATCCAAAATCCAGCACATGCAGTGTGTTCATACCTTTAATGCGGATAGATGGTGGAGTCTTGTTAGAGATAACAAGCCTGGCAACAGTTTTTGTCTTCCCGGGAGATCGTGGCGGATCCATCTAAGAAGTGACTTCACCACAGCCTCCTCATCGGGCACACTTAGAGCATCTGACCTCAGGCATGCTTCCAATACATTCAACTACAAGAAGCAGTAAAAACTGAGTCACTTTCTACAATATTATTACTTTACTTTAGACACAGAATAAACCTTTTCAAGGATTCAAGGTTATTTTATTGTCATTTACAACAGAAGGTTGCAGAATGACATTTAGATATAGTGGATAGATCGATGAGTCATAAAAATAAAATAAAAAGATTTGTTTTTGATGAATTGTTGAGGAAGAATTTAAAAGCCTGGGGGAAGAAGCTGTTTTTAAGTCTGGTCGTACGGCAGCAGAAGCTTCTGTACCTCTTCCCAGATGGCAGCAGTGGGTATAAAGTGGGAATAAAGATACCACCCTAGACCATCAGGGCCAGACTTTATGATTTGTGTGTGTAATTATGGGAACAATGTGTAGAAATTCAATTATTTAGGCAGCAGTACTTAACAGTACTTTTAACTCAAAATCAACATTTGTCAGTGTTAAGCCAAATTTTGAATCTGAAATCAAAGAAGCCCTATTTTTATCCATTAACTTGATGAAAACACACATACATATTAATATATATCTTAGATCTAAATTGTAACCTGTTACCGTCTGTGGAGTATGATTTGGAGCTGAGAATAACAGGATAAAATCATAGCTCAGGCAGACCGAATACACACCATACGCCACAATATATAGTCAAGGTATAAACTAATAAAACAATGTATGTATTTATTTATTATAAACCTCAGCTTATTTCATAAAGAACTTTGTTATCTTGGCAGTTATTAAGCAGCACCTGCATGTCCAGAAAGTCCTGTGTTTTGGAAAGGTCGGAGAAGTTCTGAACCACAAACTCATTGGCACTTCGAAGGAGGGTGGCCGAGCCGTAGCCCTCAGCAAGGGAAAAGAGGGACAGGCAATTAGAAAGATCCATGGTTCCTATCAGGAAGTCGCTGCACGCTCGGGACAGGACTGGCACCTGAGGACACCAACGACAAGAAGAATATTGTAAACGTAAATGTCTTTAATGGCTTTAATTATTTGACTCCGTTAATCTAGTTAAATGAGGGCTCTGCACACCCACACTTAGTTGATTAGACCTCTGCTTGTTGGGTGGAGCTTTGCTGGGAATTACATGAGGTCACCGAAGTGTATGCACCAAAAAGAGTAATAAAGCTGTAAGCTGTCCGATGCTGACAGGCGCTACGAAACTGACAGTGAGGCAAACACTAATTAAACATGTGCCCTCACAGTCCTGAGGGGAGGTTTGATTAGTCAAAATAAGTGAAGACGGGCGCCCGGTTACCTCAGTGGGTAGAGCTGGCAACCCATGTACTGAGGCTGACTCCCTGCTGCAGCGGCCCAGGTTTCGAATCCTTCCTGCGGCCCTTTGCTGCGTGTCATCCCCTCTCTCTTCCCTCCTTTCCTGTCTATCTCCAGCTGTCACTATCATAAAGGCAATAAAAGCCTCAAAAAATACTGAAAAAATTTAAATAAAAAAAAAATAAGTGAAGACATCTGTGTGGGTGTGTGCCATAGGTGGGTAACAGACATTTTGACTTGTCATAGTAAGAAAAGCACAGGTTTAACTAATAACATTAATGATGAGGTGAGTCAGCATGAACAATACAAAGACCCTGAAACCAAAGTATGTAGAATGAATTCAGCTGTCAACAAGGATTTTATCATTTACACCAGTGCTTTACTTACTGTGACATGTCAAAATGTAAGTACTGTAACATCCTAACCAGGGTGAGGGGGCGCTAAGTTATGGCACTAGAAAAAGAATGAAGAAAGCATGGTTGTATTTCTACCTGCAGAAAAGAGGCAAGCTGAAACAGCATGTCTACATTGCTATCAGTGATGAGTGCCTCTCCAGAATAGGCGAAGTCCAGGAAAGAAGTCACGGCCACCGGACACTGGTTACCCAGAGTCACTGAACCATCACCACGCTCTCGCATATCCACCTCAAACATGGCCCTAAACACAGAGCAGTTACACATGATATTATCATTACAGAGATAGATAGATAGATAGATAGATAGATAGATAGATAGATAGATAGATCGATAGATAGATCGATCGATCGATACCTGAAGAAATCACTGCATGCGGCAAGGACACAGCGATGGCAGGGAAAACTGTGTCCCTGGACCTTAATGGTGAAGTCGAACATCAAGCCTTGCTCCCTGAATGATCGGAGCACGCTCAGCAGCTGGAGTCCGTGTGACTCAGATGTCCGCAGCATGGTCCTGCACTCTGGGACCCCGTTGCATTGTGTAGCATTGCCACGTTTACTGCTAGGAGGGCTGCTGCTGGGGGTTTGGGCGTTGGTGCTACAGGAGGACAACTCTTGAGATTCATCCATCTTCCCAAATTCTGGAAATATGAACAAAATAAAACAAAGGTCATAATGCATTTCCAAAGAATGTAGTGAGTCTGAGCCTTTGTGTATTATGCGAATGAGACACAGAGGGAGGTGAGGAGGGATAAGAGAAGGGAATCTACTTTGTAACAGACAGTCACTCTCTACCACACAAGCATATTGCTGATTAGAGTTTAAGGGAAGAGCTTGGTTTGCGTCAACCACATTCAGTGTTATCACATAATTATTCAGCTCAAAGTAAAGATATTACACACTTACCTCAGATAATATATCGCTGGTGAAAGTCAGACATACACATGTGAAACAGACAGGTAGGTAGTCTGAAGCAGGACAAGCAGTAGTGTCAGCACCTCGGACAGCTCTCTTTCTCGTGCCACTCTTAACTTCCGGAAGCGTGAAATCACGCGAGGACTCGGACGGCTTTAATTTTTTTTGTGGTTATAATTGTCTCTAACGTTATCTTTGCTAAAAAAAAATAAAATAAAAAGTGCGATGTTTTATTGATGATAATAATATATTTATCCCGTGTATAAAAGCCCTCGAGTTGACTGCGTGTCTGCGGCTCTTTGTTTGCGGTAGAAGAAGGAGCAGTGCCTGCTGGGAACTGTAGTTCTCCCTTGTTGGTCATCTTACAGACCAGTGATTCCCAACCTTCTTCCTTAAGGGACCATTGAGAAAACTGATGACCCCTGACGAAGAGACATATTTTATAGATGTTTCATATTCAATGCATAACAATAACAGAACAACTGATAAACTGTACAATTAACCTAAACAGTGAACACAATAACTGCAGGAAGTTTGTGTTAAACAAGCAATTTGGATGAATTTTGATTATTTCCTGTGAATATTATATTATTATTATATTCTTAACAAGTTCAGTGTTTTCTTTTCATTGTTCTATTGAATTGGTTGTTTTAAGACGATGCTGTTTAGCAGAGTAAAGACTAGGTTGTGTTCATGTCTTCAAGTTTAGATCTTAAATAATAAACTTTAAAAATAACTATTTCATTTAGTTTTCTTCGCAGAATTTTTTTAAAAAAAAAGCTCAGATATAGGCCTACTGTATATATATATTTATTTTTCTTACACCCCTTTAAATCAAGAAGGCCTCACAACCCCCTTTGAAGCTCTGGCGACCCCTAGTGGGGGTCCCGACCCCCAGGTTGGGAACCACTGTAGGTAAAACTCGTTGAGTGTGCGGACAGATATCAAAGAGTGTTCACAAACACTACGGGTCAGAAGCTGTTTACTTGTAAACTAAATGCATTAATTATGCCACAATACTTAACTGAAAACCTTAATGACTCCTAATTTCTAATTATTAGTTGCAGAGGGTAAATGTACATGTTGCAAGTAAGGAAACATATTAATAAATAAATAAATGAGATAAAATTAAATGAAATAAATTGTTTCAAAGACTATATACACTACGATATGCACTGAAAGGCTGCCTAGTTAAATAAGTTGTTGCAGGTCGTGTTTAAATGTGAGGCACAATACAACTCATCACCACTGGGTGGCGCTGCCTTCCTTTGATGTAAAATGTGTGGCTGTGAGGCAAAAGCCACTGAATCTGAATTATTGAACTACCAAGCATGCTGCAGTACCATTTAACCACCACAGTGCTGCTGACCAAATAACACACTTCCCTGCCTGGAAATGTTGATGCCAAAAAATACATAACAGCAGCCTTTTAAAGACGAGCACTAGTACTACAACAGCGTTTATTATTGCTCCTGGTACAATAATAATAACAGTATATAACGCAACATACTACCATAGGTCATTTCTCATCAACGCAAAAACCATGGGCTCAATCAATTAGTGCAAACACACACAAAAAAAGAACAAAGAACTTACAATGTGATTATACAACCGCCTATCAATTACCCTATCTCATACTACTACATCATCTATAGGCTATCAGTAGACTCGCATGTAATAATCGATTTGCACTGACGCTTAAAATCAAATCATCCATTATTAAATGAAGTGAGAGTAAAACCAGTAACGCCAGTCTAAATGCACATCAGAAAGGCGATTCCGCCTCTCTTTATCTGGTTTTCTTTAGGTCATAAACCCGAATTATATTCCCATAAATGTTATTATTATTATTATTATTATTATTATTATTATTATTATTTGGCTATTATTAAAGCCTCTGTATGTTATCGTCTGCCCACCCCCCCTACTCCCCAACTCCCCTCCTCCTCCTCCTCTTCTCCTTGCATCCCTGCATCCCTCCCTTCCTCTCTCCCTCCCGGCAGTGCATCCCCATCCCCCACACACGGTGGACGTCTCTTCGGGTGAAAGCTGTCTTCCCTGCGCAACTGGCCCGACAAAACGTTGCTGTAGCAGAGCCAGTCCGCACCGACCTGAGGCAGAGCAGACACACGGGAGAAAGCACGTACGCACACGGGGACTCTTTTTTGTTGTTCGACCGAGTGACTTTGGTAAGTCTCATACGCTGTATTTTTTTTTTTTTTTAGTATTATGGAGGACAGGAATGTCCATGTGTCGAGTTGCTAGTTGTTCGTTTCTTTCTGTCTCCCCCCCTCCTCCTCCTCCTCCTCCGTATCCCTTCAATTGTCCTCCGTGGTGGCTACAGTGGGGGAACTAGCGGGCTAAGCTAAGAGTGCTAGCTTAAAATAGCGGATTCAAACTGGTAGTTGTCGTCTTGGTGATGGTTGTAACGTTTTATGGTTTGCCCCCGGGGGTGGGGTAAAATTAGCCACTGTTGCCCCGGTGCAGTTCGGTCTGACCCTACTGTGAGGGTTTTTCACTGTCATTTGCTAATCTTTGCCCCGGCTAGCTCGCTAATTAGCACTTTCAGTAGCGTGTGCCGAGGGATGCGGGGATGCTACGGCGGCTATAGCTGTTGTCTTTTCGGGCTAGCAGGCAAGCTAAGCTAACGTTAGTATTATAGATTCCTGTGCGGGGTGCTTCGGGATGCTTAAATAGCCATGCTAACGCCGGCTAATCTGGCGATAATTGGCAAGATGGCATCTCGGAGTTGTTATCTAGAAATCGGTGGATTTTCAAAATGGTGTCTTAAGCTTGTTTGAGTGTGACCATTTTTTTTTTTTTGTCCGACCATTGCTGTTTTGGCGTTGCTTGCTATCTCAGGAATGCAGTGAACTGCCAGTGCATGCAGTACTCTGATAGATATATCATTACATTAAACCGCTGATGTGGTGAGATATATATATATATATATATATAGATATATAGATATAGATATATAGATATATATACATATATATACATACACACACACCAATGCCTGTGTACTGGGCGGCCTCCGGGCTGCGACTACTATTAGGAACAAAACCATTGTATTTTGCAGTGGAGCTAAATGTGCCTTTAACAGAGTTTTTGTACTGCATATGTGGTGCCTCTTTGGGAAAAAAAAAAAAAAAAGTATTGCGTCTGTATTGCATGCGGAAATGTTTGCACACTGGATTTTAGTGGTTCACCTTTTATACATCTGCGCACTTCACTTAGGTTCACCATAAACATGTGGTTCCTCTTGAGGTTCAGTCTTAGCTACATGAAGACCCCGGCTAAGGTCAGAATAAGTATTACATGCAAAATGCAGATTTATCTTGCTATGATTGATGGAGACATTAGGACAGAAACTAATTATTTTCAGTCGATTAAAGAAAGTCTAAAACAATAAAAGATGGCCATTGTTATTTCTCAGAGCCAATAATGGCATCTTTAAATAGCTGTATTGTTTGACAGATTGTCCCAAACTAAATGTTTAGATCTTACAATGACAATGAATAAACACTGTAAAGTAGCTATTCCTCCTGGATATAGAGAAAGTTTAGCATTTTTGATTCATAAACAAATTAAACAATTAAAAATCTCCTTAGTTAACAGTCAGCTATTTAAGTTATCAATCCTTTCAGCACTATTCGAGTATCTCTGTACTCGCTGACAACTCAGAATACAAAAACTAAACGGAGCTTCAGGATTACACAAAATGCTAAAAGCGTATTCTTCCTTTCTCTCTTATGACTAGTCTTATCAGTGAAATGAATTCTCTTCATGATCATCTCTTTTTTGGGGGCGGATTACCTGCTTTAGTCACTGACTGCTAATCCCATTTAATTCAAGAAGCCTTATCTGTCTAAAGGGATTTCTGAGATACTGCTGTTCTTTGCCCTCACCAGAGCAGCACGGTGTAAATAAACTGTGTACAGTTCAAATATTATTCTGCAGAGACCGGAAGGATCACACATCTCCGTGTATTTTAAACATACAGTGAAGTTATTCTAAAACACATTACTTTATTGCTGTTTGTTATTATAATATCTAGTAGATGGGGCTGAACAACATGAGTCATATTGATTCCACCCAACAAAATAACCCACAGATTACAAAGACTGTCTCTCTCTTTTTATGACTAGTGAAATCAAGAAGCATCTGGCCACATTGGTGAAGTCATTAAATACAAGGACAATGGTCATCCTTGAGAAATCCACTCTCAAATTAAAGTGTATTTTGTGGCAGGATAAGAGCAAGTTATTTAAAAACAAACACAAAGTGTAGCTGAATTGAACTGAGCTCAATATCTGTCAAAGTGTTTGACGTATTTGCTTCTTCAGTATCATCTTCTAAGGTGACCCCTGTCTGCCATGCTAGAGGACAGGGGGTTGGGGTGTGAGGGCATGGGGTTTTTGGCATGCGTTGAGCACTGTCTCGTGTATGAATGGTGGGCTGTACAATGCAGCCGTAAAACTGTCAGACTATAGAAAGCTGGAGTCACTTAATGTTACGAGAGTCAGTGGTTCTATAAGAGACTTTTGTCTTTCTAGCACTTCATTCCCGTGTGGTTTCAACCACTTAATGAGTTGCTCATCAGAGATCCGTGAGCAAAATGCTTACAGACGGCAGCTTCCAGATTTGCCCTCCTCTGGTCTCCAGCCCACAGTCCTTCAGCTTGACCAACATTTTTTGCTATCATATCTAATTATCTATTTTTAATGGTTTACACTGTAAAACATGAAAAAAATTGTTGTGGGAAAAAAAGCAGCTCCCCGAAGCCCACAGTGAGGTTCCTGTATTGCCTTTTTTGTCCACCCCAACAGTCTTAAACCCAAAGTTATTATATTTACAAAGATATAAAACAAAGATAAGCAGTACATCCTCACATAGAAGAAGCTGGAACCAGTGAGTGTTAACATTTTTATTTGATAAATGACTTCCAAGAAAATGACTAACAACATAGCTATTAGATTAAGCATTTAACACTGAGGTGCCTGGGGTTATATTTCTAGGTACTACTTGTAGTGTAGTGCAGCAATGCTAAAGGAATACAGAAGAAATGATATGCACGACATGAAGTGTTAAAACAGTTAACAAACCGTACGTTGGTTTGGTGCTTACGTTTAATCAGTTCAATAAATGATCCACTCACACTCACATTACCTGGTCAGTGACCTTTTCACTGCATACCAACGATAATGAGGTAAGACAGCTTTACAGACGCAACACTCGATTCTCCTTTTGTCTTTGGTGTAGTTTGAACACGCTGGAAGGATCGTAACTATAGTGAAAAGGACACCGATCGTCAACTAATGTAGAGTTGCAACCAATGTTCATTGTCATTGTTGATTTAATGTGCAGATTATTTTCACAATTAATTATTTTGTCTATAAAACAGAAAATAGTGAAAAATGTTTCACAGAACCCAATATGACGACATCACCTCTTTTGTCTGACAACAGTCCAAAACACAAAGATATGTTTATATTTTTTTATTTTACAATAATATAAGACAAGGAAAAGCAGAATTGCTAGCATTATATTTTTTGTGATTTGCGCTTGAATTTATTGACTAATTGGGGCCTCGTACAAAGTTTGAAAATGCTCAAGTTTAACTGTTGTGCTTTCTTGATTAGAAATATGCATGAATTTAAAACAAATGTCCTTAAATGCTTGATTTTTAACGTAATCTGGCGTTTCATCTAAACAATCATGCAATCAACTTACATGCTCGCTAATAACTTATTTTAAGAGTTGGGTCTCTGACAACAGTGTTGTGTGAAGAACATGGGTGTGTGTGTGAGAGTGTGAGTGAGTGAGAAAGTGAGTGCAGTGAAGTCCGTTTTACGGAAAATGTACAGTGTAAGTTACAGTGAATAAAGGCTCCAGTTACAACCAGGGATGCACCAATATATCTGCCAAACAACAACAAGATGGCATTGACCGATATCAGTGGCTGATGTTTGCCTGTTCTGCCACATCGGTTTTGCGCTGGCTAAATGTTATTGGTTATTTACCACTTGGATATTGGGGAAATGATCACCTTCTGTTTTTCAGCACTGGCACACAAATACAGTGTGGTCCACACAGCAGTATGAGTAGCATTAAGTCACAGAGGGTTATGTTTGTAGATTCCTTTGTTTTCCTGGCACAAAGGGGCAAATAAATAATGATGTAAAAACACTATCGGCCCAGAATTTCCCCATTGGTAATTTGCATCCCTGTTTACGCCCAAAGTAAAGCTCCGATGTGTTTCTCAACTGCTGGAAAAGTGAAGGGGGTAAGTATTTAGACAACGTCAGACACTGTGCATGGAGGGGGGACTAGATATTTTTTTAAATCACACACTTGGATATAATTTTGTCAGTAAATTAACATAATGATAACTGTTGTTGTTAAGGCCTCCTCAGTAGCATGATGCTATATGTACTACTATGGTGGCCTGCAGTCACTTTGTAGAATCAGTGCACCGATGTACCACATTACTCATTGTTTTTATACGATCAGCCCTTTAACATGTACCTGAACAGATTCCTGATCAGCATTGTCTGGATAAATCATTGCTTGGTGATTGATCTGTGTGTGTGTGTATAATGTGGCAGGTTGGAATAAAGGACTAGGATAAAAGGTTGTGAACTGATCCCTGGAGGCAAAGCTGTAATGCATTCAGCTGTCTGTCATATGGGCGTTCTACAACTGTCTGCATACACACGTGTCTGCACTGCAGGCTGTTGTTTGATGATCAATAGTATTATTTCATGTTGTTGTCCACCAGCAGTTCAAAATTAACATATATTTAATTAAACCCAGAATAATACTTGAGTCAAGAGTTCAAGCAAAATCTTTAATGTGCCAACAGGAGGATTATAATCTTGTGTTGTTAATGGGCACTTTGTACCACAACACAATGCAGAACGTTAATGAAGGAGCAAAAAAAGGAGAAATTGTCTAGAGTGATGTGACTGCTGCTATGACGGCTCAGCTAACAAAGAAAAAGACATTTTGCCGGCTATCAGTTAACATTAAGTTTAAGTTCAAAATTGTCAGCAGAGGAACATTTTTAGTTCATTTTCACGTTCATATTTTTATTCGCTTTAATGGTAATAAAACACATTTCACACTTCTCCAATGCTAGTGTCTAAACAAACCAAGTTTAGTTACAATTTTGCCTTCAATGTCACCACATTAATTGCTTGTAAACAGATCGGGTGAAAAATAATCGACACCCGAAACCAAGATTACTGGTTTCTGTCATATTTTTCTCCGAGATATAAATAGAAGTGTTCACCTGTCACATGTTAGCAACTGGCATAGAACCTGGTCGCCATGGTGAAATGCAAAGGGGTTGCACTGCTGTATGCATTTATCGAAAAAATCCATCTTTAACACCTTTTATAAAAGATAGAAAATAACAAAGTAGAGGCTAATATGTCGCCTTTTTATGTTGCACCTTGACATCCATCAGCGCATGTCTGCTACTGAAACGTGATGCGGTGCACAAGTTTAATGTATACTAGTATGCAATAGGGACACAGTGTTTGTGTTTTGGTTCTCTACACCGAGAACCCTGCTGTATCTAATCACCTAACCGAGAGCTAGCTTACACCTGGGACACTATATGAATGGGTCTTTTTCACAGAGGACATTTTAACCAGAAGGTCGGAAAGTACAAAAATAATAACATTATCGAGGGCTGAATTTGTTTTAGGTTCTTCAGTTTAATGGTAACACATGTGCTTTTTTCTACTATGACAACTGAACCACAGCAACAATGTAATAATTATTTATGGTATAAGTTGCGTTTGCTAGTTTTTGACAGGCTCCAAAACAAACTGCTAATAGACAGACACGCTAAACTATTAGCTCATAAAGTTGGCATGACTGTTGACAAATAGTTGGCTACTTACACATCCAGCAACTACTGAGAAAAATATCTAACTCTGTCATTTTAGCAACGTGTGCAGTGTGTTGTGGGTAGTTGGCAGACAAAAAGACGAAAGAAAGAAAAGACAAAGGCGTAACTGTCTCTGTATGTTTGTAAAAAGGTTGAAATATCAGCGGCCACTAAGGCAGTAATTGTGACAGGCATTGATCAGCCACTCTTTAAAGTCCCTACTTATTAATAACGGTGACTCTGTGCAAATAGATGGTAAATATTACTGGTTGCTATTTAGCAAGTCCCACCTCTGCTGCAGGCAATAATGCCTGTGCGCAGTTAATATTGCCTGGAGGTATTGATCGTTTATCATGGGTTTAACCGCCAAGTCCTCGCTCACAAAGCTGTCTGTTCTCGTGTGTGTGTGTGTGTGTGTGTGTGTGTGAGCATTTGCGGGTTTGTGTCTGTGCGTGTGTGTTTTTCTCCTCTGTAACTTATTATGAATCCATGCACTTGGAATGGGGTTTCACTTTTTATAACCACTGCCTTTTAGAACTTGGTAGGAGCTCATTTAACTTTTATTATTTAAACCAAAAGCTTAACTAAGTGCTTAATTGTTCTCCCAAGTTTCTTGCAAGATTGTGGCCTTTTTCCGTAATAAATATCAATCAAACTAGTGACAACACGAGAGTTTCAGCCTTGCACAGTAGCTCGTTATTTGCTCTTCCATCTTAATTGTGTTGATGTGGCATTTCTAAGTAATCAATAAAAATTGATGCACCTCTTTCAAGCAGTCAATAATTTGGAACACCTTTTGAGCTTTGATGCTTGCGGGAAGTGTGCCTTGTAGACACGCATACAGAAAGCTACTGGAACAGGCTAGGGATAAATCAGTGCCTTTTTTATATTGTCATTACACAGTGTTGAAGATGCATTTGTACCATGCATGGACATGACAGTCAGCTTTTTTTAATTTACTAATTATGCAGCTTTTAATAGCTCATCTATCATGGAGGCAATCAGCATGGGTAGATACACACATAGTATCTATAGATATCTCTTGGCAAACCGTTCTCTCCATTTGTCATCCATCCAACAATTTTGTTGCCTGGTGTGAAATTAGTGCTACAGCCTCATTAGGCGACCAGCATGGTGGTAGACCTCTAGTCTTGTTTCCAGTATCGTTCAGGCCCACTATCAATGTTATAATTCCCAGGTTGCTGTGAAAACTCATTAAAAGTCAAATTACTTGATGCTCCCTTTTAAAGAAAGTTATACAGAAGCCTCTAATTAACACCTTAAATAAGGACTTGTTTTGTTGGGGACAACTTTATCAACACCCTCGCTAGTCCTTTTAACCTCAGTGAAGGTAATGCCATTAACCCTTTGAAATCATAAACTGGGTAACTTTAGGTTTCTTTCTGTATAATCCAATCATAATGTTACATTATATGTCTAAAGCACCCATACTGATACCAAGAGTAAAATAACCACTGTTCTTTAATTGACACAATGCTACATCATCAGTAACCTCTACAGAGGTGTAGTATTGATATCTTAACCTAAGTGTGACGCTCATCAGTCTGACCTCAGCGTCTCTTCCTAAGCGTGTATTAGAAACCAAGGACCACAGCGGGGGTAGAAATCTCCATAAATGGATCATGTTGAAGGGTATTTAATTCACAGTATAGGCGCTTTGCGCATGAAAAACATTTCCATTTTCAGTGGGCCGGCACAATATTGTCACATAATCCAGAGATGCAGGCCCATGTGTGACTGATGAGATGATTTTGTAAAGGAGAATAGAAGAGGAGGAAGCCAGCACAGAGAAAAGGGCAGATGCTGTCCCAAAGTGTATAGTGCTGTCCTAGATCTAAAATAGCCCTGGGCGGCTAAGAGCTCGTTGCTGCAGGGCAGGTCTGATTATGTGTGTGTGTGGGGGGGGGGGTTCTGATTCCATCACACTGCCTTTGAATATTATCGTAAGATGGATGTGGTTGATTATCAATGTCAGTTCTGATTGTGATCACAGGCACTACATGGTCTGTCCCTCAGGCCCGTTTTGTTTGATATCATGCTGCAGTTAAGACTTCTGCTCCATTAAAGGCCCTGAAAACCTATTTTCTTTATCAGCTTCATTATCCTACATGAGCACAAGATTTTCTATCCATGAATATTTGATATAATAGAGAAATACTACGTTTAATACAGCTTTACTTGTCAGTGGTCGGTAGTACAGTAACAGTAGGTAACAATTATTTTCATTATAAAAAAACGTTTTCGCTTTTCTTTTTCTTGATTTTCTCATAATAAAATGTAAAAATAAACAATGAAACATGTCCAAGACATTCACCAGAACCCAAGGTAAAAAAATTGAAAACTTGTTTTGTCAGTTCAAAACCCAAAGGGGTTCAATTAATTATTGTAGGAGACAAAGGATGAGGAAACATTCACATTTGAGAAGCTGGAACCAGTGAATTTTGTGATTTGTTTGCTTTAAAAAAAGGTGTCAATCAATTAACCATTACAGATACATTTTCAACAGTACGGTGAACCGATGCTACAGTAATATGCAATAGAATAAAATCAACAAATAGGTAACAGCCCACCTAATGTAGGTATATTACACGTGTGGCTCATTATCTAGGCAGGTATTTACCGTATTTGGAAGATTAATTGGTCTGTAAGGAAGAAAATACAATTGACACACCACAATACACTCAGCAGTTTATTGTCTTACATCTTTTCTTTCTGTTTCCTTCTTATATGACCCAAGTGAAACGCTGCCTTTCTGGGGATTAAAAAAAAAAAAAAAAAGAAGAAGCTGTTCGTTTCTATTCTCTCCTGTGCTGAAGTGTGATGACGCCCACCGGTTTTGATTTGTTGCTTAAAGAGTAGATGCCTGGTGAGGTATTATGTGGGAGGATAGAGTCGGTGTGGGGGTTGTGTTGTATTGTACATGTTCTCTAGGAATGGTAGCTCTTTGTGTGTGTGTGTGTGTGTGTGTGTGTGTGTGTGTGTGTGTGTGTGTGTGTGTGTGTGTGTGTGTGTGTGTGTGTGTGTGTGTGTGTGTGTGTGTGTGTGGTTTATTCTTTCACAATCCTTCCCTCATTATTACCTCTTCTGGTCCCCTTAGGCTACAGGAATCTCCCTTTATGGAGTGGAACCAACATTATTGTTTTGAACATGCACATATTTATATTAAATATGTGAACTTTGAAGATACGGAGCAAGACTTCAATGTCTGTCACCTTACTGACTCACACCCAACATTCAAAGAGACACACACACACAAGTACCCCACACCACACAAAAACACACAAAACACAGCTCTGTTAGCATGCAGGCTAGCAAGCTGTCTTTTTGTACTGAAGCCTTGAGGCTATAGCTTGTGAGTTCAGCCCAAATGAAGTCCCACTAATAGAGTTTGAGCTTAACAAAGTCCTGAAAAGTAACTCAGGTTAAGCCAGGAGCACAAAGGTCTCCTTAACAATGTCAGTCAGTGGTGAATGAATCCCTGATGTGTGTGTGTGTGTTCTTGTGTAAGAAAATGAGCTCCCAATACAATTTGATATCAGTAGTAGGGGTTGTAGCTGAAGTGATAAGTCGATTGACAGAAAAATAACTAGCAACTATTTTGTAACTTGTGCAAAAATGGTAAATATTTGCTGATTCCACCTTCTCAAAAGTGAGGATTTGATGCTTTTTTTTTTTTTGTCATTCATAATGTTTGAGGAGATAAAAAAAAAGTCTTTGGCTCTGGTGAATTATAATTCATTATTTTTATTTCTCACAATTTTCTTACATTTTATACAAATAACAATTGAACAGATTAATCATTAATGAAAATTAATTGTTTGCTGCAGCCCTAGTTGTGGTATGTTCAGTGATTTGGTATCACACAATATATTTGAACTGTTATGTTGTGCTATGGCAGCATTTATCATGCGTCACATGAAGGCTGCTCCATAGCAAGTGAGAAGAATCTTGAATGATAAGTGTACATTAGTATTTAGACAGTGTGGTAATAATAAACCACCTACAGAAACTACTAAACCAGTCAAATCAGAATTGTAAAAAAACAGGACACGATGTCTTTTGGCAGCAGTGTCAGTTTTCAGTGCAAATCCAATTTTCGGATGAAATGATTTTTCATTGTCGCAGTATCCTAGGAGGGTAGCAGGGAGAAAAAATGAAGTGAAACTGTATTCCATGTTGAGGATGGCAGGCTGGAGTAAAAATTGTGGTACCATGGTCACTGGTTTGATTGTCATACCTACTGAAAGGTGTAATAGCTGTCAGCAGATGAGTGAAAATACTTTGGGTCACATGTTCATTTTCATCATCGCTGTCTGAGTCCCCTGTGAGCAGCAGCCCTTTGACTGATGGAGGATGTTATACTGCAGATAACCCTGCCGTCTTCAAAGTCAGTGCTGTTGGTTCTGTTTGTTTCCAGCTGAGGAAGGAACGATAAATCATTCCTTACAAAAAGCAGCTCACACAAAATGTGTTCATGGCATAAGTGTAAATGGTAGTGTAGCTGACAAAAAATAGCCAATCTAGATTCAGACCATCTGTTTGTGACCAGTTAGCCCTCAGTGGCTACTGGCCATATACAGCATATGTGTACATCATGTACCTGCAGCTCCTTCACAGTAAAATCTTTGTATGCCAGTAATGCTACTGTACTTCAACTACAAAGCTTCAGTTTGACAAATTGAATGCATGTTCATGCAGATGCAGTACTCAGTGGTATCAGCTCTTTAAATGGTTGCTTCCTGCCATTTTAAAACGTATTCTAGCAAAGCATTTATATATTTTTCTCCTGTGTGTTTGAATGAATAACAATTCATAAGAATGATGGCCATCTGATTGATTCTGATCATTTTAAGTAGTTAATCAAATCAAAAATGCACAGTTCAACAGTTCTTGACGGTAAATGTTTTACAATGAGTGATTTGAAGTCAATATGTTAAGCTCCAGAAATTTGTGTGTGCATTTTTAATTATACGAGACATTTATTGGCTGATTAATCTAGATCTGCAATCACTAGACGATTAATCGATTAGTTGAGCAACAGAAATGTATCAATTATTTGTTCCAAAGTAATTTTTCTTCCAGCTTGTCAGTTGTGAGGATTTGCTGCTTTTCTTTGTCTTATCTTTGTGGTTTGGGGGTGTTGTTGTTTGGACCAAACAAGACATTTGAAGGCTTCTGGGAAATGAGGTTTGTATTGTGAGAAATTGAGTATTTACTACTTTCTGACATTTCATAGACAAATTGATTAATGGAGAAAATAATCAGACGATTGCTCGATTAATAAAAATGATTTTAAGTTGAGCTCTAGATTAATCAAATAATTGAACACAATAATAAATTAATTAGAAATGATGAACATTATCTGCAACCCTACACAGAGAACTGATATTGTCTGACTCAAGTGTGGTATATAAGTGCACTTCCTAAAATTGTTCCCTTTTAAGGGTGTAGCACTTCATTGCACTTCACAACTCAAGCCCTTGATTCCCAAGGTGCCCAGCAGCAATTAGTGTTTGCTGGTGTCTGTCACTAAGCAAGCATTACATTTTCAGGCCACCGAACATATGGTGTGTGATTTTTATTCCTTTTCTTTATGAAGTATGCTTTAAGGGCCTAAAATGCTTCCACACAATAGAGGAGATGTGTAGACCTCTTCTCATCTTTACACTCTGTCCTTCAAATAAATGTCCTAACTGAATGTCCTCTGGAGAATTGTCTTTTACAACAATGGATAGTGGTCTGTCGAACAGAAGGTCTTCTGGCTAGAAAGAAGCTTTTTTTTTTTTTTTTTTCAGGAATTGAAAGCCTGTAGCGCCTCATCATCACCTCCCCCTGAAAACAAAGGGAGTTGTGGTTAGACCCTCCTACTCATCACATGCATCTCTGCCATCCTCTGTTCCTCACACACCTTCATTAGACGCACTGTGGTGCCCCTCTTGTTCTCATCCATTCACTTTTTGTCACCTTTGCCTACACACACACACACACACACACACACACACACACACACACACACACACACACACACACACACACACACACACACACACAGGCTGAAACAGATGAACACACTGGTCTTTACTCTATTCAGTCACAGCTGTAATTGGGTATGTGTTGTGCTTGTAGCATTAGACCTTAGGGTTAGCTTAGCCACCTGTCCATGTGTTAATGGACATAGTTCCCTCACTCCAGACAAGTGCGCGACAACATGAAGAACCCCCCCGATTAATGTAATATTTGATGATAGTGCTTACATGGCTTGTTGTAGCTTTGATTTGATGGTTTTGTTTAATAATCGCCTGCTAGGATTGTGAGAGCCTATTGAAAATTTTGTGCCACAAGATAACTCAAAACAAATTATAAGACTAAGTTGGCTAATGGTGCTAGTATGGCTACAACAAAATGATGACAATAATGGAGATTTTAATAAAAAAAATGTAAAAAGAAAACATAATTTTTAGGAATAAAAATCAGCCTGGACTGAACCATCTCTATCATAATCAAAGTAAAAAAATAAAAAATAGCACCAACCATGCTGGTAAAATATGCAAGTGACTTTTATATAGGCTTCACTCACCAGCTAAAAATGTAAACACTGACTAGCCATTTGGCAGGTGAACAAAAAAGTTAATTTTACACCCTGAAATTGTAACTATTGGATGGATCGTGATCTTCTCTTCTCTTGATCCCCAGAGAATGAGTCCTAATGACTTCTCCGGCGTGACCTGCAGGTTAACATTTGTGGTTTAAAGTTAATTGTATCAACACCTATTTGATGGATTTGCAGGAAATTCAGTACAGACATTCATGTTGCCCTCAGGATGAATTGTAATAATAACTTTGGGGATCCTTTTTAACTTTTCATCTCGCACCATTATCAGGTCAATTTATCCAGCACGTTGATTTATGACAAAATACCTGCAAATCTAATCACTTCAGTCTTAGCTCTATCTTGTTTTAAGTGTTTAATACCAGTTGTTGGTATTCTCACTTCAGTATGTTAACATTGTCATTGTGAGCATTTTAGTATGTTGACTAGGGCTGTAAGAAAAATATAGTTACTTGAGTATTGTGATATTTTGTTTTGTGATATTGTAACAATTCTCAAAAACACTATCGATCTTTGTGTTTAAACCTCCAAACGTTGGATAGCAGTGTTATTATTGCATGTTAACTTTTAACTCATTTTTTGCATATAAACGAGAATTATTATTATTATTGACTGATAATTAATCAGCTGTAATGTAATTTTCCCGATATAATACAAATTTCACATTAGCAGCCAATAATTGATCTGCCCTGATAATTCCTTACTTTGAAAGCATTTTGGAAAAATCAGTCATTGTATTTTTAAGGTAATCCAGTTAAGCTGTTTCATTTAAATGTGGCAGTCGCAATAATGTTTCTGTTTTGCTTTTAATCTTGTTAATAATCAGACGTTTGCATGTAGATGCACTGATTAACTGAGGTGGAGAAATCTAATGATAAATAAAAGGAAGAAGAGAGGCAGAGAGGAATGAAAGGTGGGAGGCAGAGTAGTCCTAGAGGAAGGAATTAAAGCACAGCAGATACAACAGATTAATGAGGAATGTAGTGCAAGATGTGTTCGGAAATAGGTAAATCAGTTCCCCAGGGACATTTTTTTGTTATGAGATATGAGTAATGAACCAGAGTTGACATATCCCCGCTATTTTTTTGTTACACACCCACTAACACACAGGTTTTTGTTCGTTTTTTGGGGGGGGCATGCATATGTGTGTTGCAAGGAATTAATTTGCAAAAACAACTAGAAAGCAACTGCACCCATGTGTTTTGAGCTCACATTCAGTTTTTAAGTGTGTTTGGGCGTATTGACGTCAGCGTTCCTGGACAGAGCATTGAAATGCCTCCTTGCCTAATTGGTGAAGTGTCACTTGGTGCTGTTTGGCATCACCGCCGTACAGATTGTACCTAGGAATTATGACAGCAAAACTCTAGTCATCTAAAGGATTTATTTACCAGCCATGAACAACAGGCCAGGATGGATCGGTCAGATTGAAGTTGGAAATGTGTCTTTTGGTACAGTCCAATTCACAAATGTATAAATCTACAGGAAGCGGAATTATACAGATTAATTTTGACAGTCTGTACATGGTAAATGGGTGGGTGATGTGCTGTGTACAGAGAGCTTGCCACAGCATATTTCACGCTGTCTTCTACAAGGCGCACGACAGCCACACATAAAAACCAGACAGAACTGGCCTGATCACTGCCATCGCACAACCAGGACCCATCTCCTTCAGAAACGGAAGCGAAAATCAACACACGATACACATGAATGCAAATAACATGCATCTCTCACACACACACACACACACGTACACACACACCTTTCCTCTCTTTATTTATTCCTCAGCTCTTCCGCTCTGTGTTTGTGCAATGCTCTTGTGGTTTTGGCTCATGTGTGTACTGGATCATGCTTACTCACGGTGCGAGATCTGGCCTATTTGTACTATGTTTTGTTCTCCGTCCTATTGTTTTGCTTTCCGTCACTTTGCCCGCTCACTGGGTGTGTTATGCTTTTTCATTTGGCTGTCTTAATGTTTGCTTTGCTGCTTGTATTTGATGTTCTATACACACATTACATATGTATATATACGTATACACTCATACCTCAGTTTCTCTTGGACACGTCACATAGGCCCTACATACACAAGGCTATTTCACCTGCCAGTACTGCTAGAAACAACCTAAGTACACATAGACAACTGATGGCATAAGAGAGTTTGTGCACACAACAGATGCAAACAGTCAATTTTTCACAATATTTGCATAAATTCCATGCAGTGTTTTGTATTTAGCACAGTTATTTAAATGCATTTATTGGTGGCTAAAGACACAGCAGTTACCACAAACACTCACTCAAACACGCCGTCTAAATCACTGTCCCCCTGCTGCTGTCACTAACCATTTGCTGTTGCACTGGTGCTTGCTTTTTGCTGTTTATTTTATTTTATTTTAATTTTTTCCTTCTCCTGTGTTCGTTGTAATCATGACCTCTCGCTGTTTTAATTTCAGATTTGCATATCCACTTCCACTCCTTCCTCATTTGCATACAGCAAGAATGGCGAGCGGGCATCCCACAGACAAATTCAGTTTCATGTATCAACCAGACACGCACAAGAGGTACGGGGCACGCATGCACACTCACACACACATGTACACGATTTCCCCATGCCCATATTCTCAAGGATCAGGTAAGTTGGAACAATAGAGGAGCATTTCTCGTCTACAATGGGAGACCCTTGGAGAAAGATGCCTTACGGGAGATGTAGTATAAATGGCTCCGTTAATGGGCACCTTCGCCCCAATCATTTCCAGCACCTTAAGGTTTCTGTGACCACTCCTCCGCTCAGTCCTGTAGTGGAAACCAGGCTGGTAGTGCTCGCCCTGCCTTTATTGGCGAAGTAGTGAAAATAAGGCAACAATTAGCTAGCTGTATTTAATGCCACACAGGAAACCAACCCATTATTTTCAGTGGATCCATGTGTCCTTGTGCTTTCCTGTCAGTACTTGTGCCTTTTTTTTATTCCAGCAGCAGTTTTTAAATACATGTCTTATGTTGAGCCTACTTGAGGGTGAAGATTCACGGGCGTGATTTATTTATTTATTTTTTGCATGCTGGAAAAATGCTTCAGCTGGATATATCGCCTTAAGAACCTGAGTTTGGGATTAATGTGCGTGTGTGCGTATGCTTGATAATCGTAAAACGTTTCTTTCTGATTTACATGGCTTACGTCTCTCTCCCTTCCATTTTTCTTCTGTCTTCTCTTATCCCCCTCTTTGCCACACTTTCTGTTTCTCGCTTTCTCAGTAAGAACAGGTTATCTTCAGCTATGAATCCAGTCTACAGCCCCGTTCAGCCTGGCACTCCATATGGAAACCCTAAGAACATGGCCTTTACAGGTAAGACGTACACATTTATCATCCACTGTAAACATGTTTTTAATGATGGCTGCAAGTGAGAAAACAGCACTGCTGAGTCAGTGAAAGACAGTTCTGCTAATGACTTCTCAATACTCCCAAAAGTTCTACTAGATTGACAATTGTCCGGTAAGAAAACACCTTCTTTTTTTAATAAATAGGTTATAATTAGTAAAGCTAATTTCAGGTTTTTTTTTTTGGTTCTAGAAAAAAAATTCAAGATTAAAAGAGCAATAGGGTTTGATTGACAGTCCTGTCGTCCATCCAGCTCGAGTGGTTTTTGCTTACTTGCCCCATCTTTGCTTCACTTGTTGCCACCATGTTGTTCACGTTTACATTTTTTTTTTTTACAAATTAATAATATATTTAATAATATTTGGTGCAGTGCAATAAGAGTACTGGTGTATCTCGCAGTTATGTGCTTTCACTCTTGTTTAGTTTTACATTTGCATGTAAACTAGAACATTTGACAAAGTCTGAGGAGCAGCATGTTTTTCAGGTATTAATTCCTGCCAGACTTGAAGTGTAACTACACCCTTCAATTCTGTTACCTCCTTCCCTCTCAGCAAATTTTAAAAAATGCATCAGAAAGCTGCAAAGGATAGTGACTTTAGGTGGCGTGGCCTCGACACTGACCCGAGTGATTGACAGACTGATCAGAGCAGTGTAGCAGGAACAGCGAGCTCGTTGTCAGAGCTGACCAGCCGTGAGCAAAAACTAAGATAAAAATCTTCCATGAAAGTGGATTTTCATATCCGCAAATCTGACTGCTAGTATATGAGCCCTGATATATCTTTACTATACTCACTCTGACTAGCAGACATCACCAGGAACGATGTAACAGAGAGGGATTAGCATACAACATTGTTGATTGTGATTTTAATTTGGATTTCAACAAAATTATTAACAAAATCACCTTCAAAAATAGGCTTCCTAAATTTCAGCCTTTTAAGTTGGTCTCAATTTTTTGCATTATAGCATTATATTGTAAAAATTAGTTGTTTTGTGAACTGGGTCTTGTTTTCCAGTGGATTATTTTCAAGTTGGCAGGCAACATTACACATGTCACCCTAAGAACATGGCCTTTGCAGGTAAGACGTACAAATTTATCATCCACTGTAAACATGTTTTTAATGATGGCTGCAAGTGAGAAAACAGCACTACTGAGTCAGTGAGAGACAGTTCTGCTAATGACTTCTTCATGCTCCCAAAAGTTCTATTACATTGACAATTGTTCAATTGACAATCTTTTTTATTTATTTTTTATTAATCTATAGGTTATAATTGGTAAAGTAATTTCAGGTGGTTTTTTTTGTTTCTAGTTGGAAAATATCAAGATTAAAAGAGCAGTAGGGTTTGATTGACCGGCCTGTCGTGCATCCAGCTTTAGTGGCTTTTGCTTATTTGCCCCATCTTTTCTCCACTCCGTTGCCACCATGTTGTTCACATTTACATTTACCGATTTATTAACTGGCAACAAATGGTAAATCCAGCACGTGCTTCACAACGCACCTTAGAAATCAAACTCTACCAGAACAATAGCTTAGTAGTGTTGCACCATCAGACTGTAAAACCATAATTGCGCTTACAAAATAGGATGCTAAATCCATATTGTTGTTGTGCAATTTTAGCATAGAAGACTACGCCCTTTTTTTCCCACAGTATATAGAATGCGTTTCAGAAGACAAAATGTACTTAGTGGGCATTTGAGCAAAGCCTTTATACTATGCCTCACAAACAACATATGGTTGCTGCAATAGAGAAGAGCTCACAGAAGTCAGTCAGAAAATCAGAAATTGTGATTCTCTATGCAGCAATGTAGTTTCCAGAGAAGTTGTGTACGATAAAGTGATAAAATACAAACTAGTAAAAAAAAAAAAAAAAAGATATTAACCTTCCTGGCATTTTCAGTGCAAGCGGGAGTTGATTCTGGATAGACATTGTTGGATACAAGGAAAAGGAAGGTATGAGATAATAGGCACACAGTGACTGATGTTAAGGACAACTTCACTGGATCAATCTCCCTCTGAGGAAGCAGAGTGAACCTGAACCTAAAGATGTAATTGTTTAGAGCTTTTAGTTGAACACACACACTGGCTTTCAGTGCAGTAGGTAAAGAACAGGTTGATGACATACATAGAGAAGATGGAAGAACACAGGTCATAAAAGCTTCTGTTAAAAAGCACATGATCTCGGACAAAGAGCTAGTCTCAGTCTCTTGTGTAACATTAGGTTAAACACTGTGACCAGATATACTTGAGACAAAGCCAGAGAAGCATAGACTCTTGCCTGTGTGAATTTTGAATAGCAGCTCCAAATTTTGACATCAAGTCAGCTGGTTAGATTTGTTCCGCTATACTGTAATATACCACAAAATACAGTCACTTTGGTCTCTGGGGATCTTTTTAACCTGATGCAGAAGCATGAAGCTGGGATAATGTGACTGCTCCATGATGTCATTTTACCAGCTACTCTGTGCTTTGTTAATATGTTCCACACTCATCACACTCACTTCCATTCTTCTTCCATCTCTTTGAATGTGCTGTAGGCTTTTATTTTTCCAAAAGGCAGTGCAAAGTTTGAACTACAGGTCAGAGGTGACTGCAGGAGGGATGGAAGTTTAGATTATGTATTCACTACCAAGCTTGTACATTCATTAGAAAATATTTGGTGCAGTGCAATAAGTGTACTGGTGTATCTCACAGTTATGTGCTTTCACTCTTGTGCAGTTTTTACATTTGCGTGTAAGCTAGAACATTTGACAAAGTCTGAGGAGCAGCATGTTGTTCAGGTATTATTTCCTGCCAGACTTGAATTGTAACTACACCCTTCAACTCTGTTACACCCCCCCTCGACCCCCCTCGAGTGGCCTCGACACTGACCAGAGCAGCGTAGCAGGAACAGCAAGCTCGTTGTCTGAGCTCACCAGCCGTGAGCAAAACTAAGATATCTTTTATCTTCCATGAAAGTGGATTTTCATATGTGCAAATCTGACTGCTAGTATATTACTTCTTCTGAATATGAGCTCTGATATATCTTTACTATACTCACTGTGTCCAACAGACATCACCAGGAACGATGTAACAGAGAGGGATTAGCATACAACATTATGCATTGTGATTTTAATTTGGATTTCAAAAAAATTCATTAATAAAATCACCTTCAGAAGTTTGTTCCTAAATTTCAGGCTTTTAAGTTGATCTCAATTTTGAGTTGCATTATACTGTAAATGTAGTTGTTTTGTGAACTGGGTCTTGTTTTCCAGTGGATTATTTCCAAGTTGGCAGGCAACATTACACCCTGAGATTCTGTGTTAAACACTGCCAACTCACCAATCGTCCACCGCTCTCTGTCAAGTTCAGATGTTGAATGTTACTCAGGTCAACTCATGAGATAAAAAAAAAGAAAAAGAAAAAAAGATGGTAACAGATGTTTAATACAGACACAACATGGCTTCATCTAAATGAGCTCCCAGTGACAAATTGTGAGGTAGTGATCGGTTTGCTAGGTGGTGTATACTGATGTTTTCTGTTTGTCAGTAAGCGCATGCATATCGAACTTAAAACACCTTGTTAATCATACTACTTCTGTGTGTTTTATATGGATGTAACAACATCTGCTGTGTTGTATCATTTAATGCAACACTTTGGATCAGTGCATATGATGAATTGAACAAGTCACCAGACATTTTGTTCGAAATCCTTTGAACCATGGAGTGCTGCAGCTGTTGAGCTCTGTTATTTTTCCAATTGAGGAACCATTCAGAATGAGCCAGACTCCTCGTTAAAGAGTCAGCTGGCTCATTCTCAAGTCTAAACTATTATGCTTAAGGCCGCAACTGATTAGTGCATCATATACTATATTGAGTAATCTATAACAATTAACTGTTGTACTCCCAATTTCCAGTCCAAAATGTTAGATTCAGAGAAAAGCGGTAAAAATTAGATGCAGGAAACAGAGGATATATTACTCTGAGCATTTATCAATGAATAAAGTAGTTTTTGTTGACTAATCGTTTAATCAGTAGTTAATAGTTTCAGCACTATTATGGAGTTTTGTCCTAAATTGTAAACGTAATAAATTTTTTTCAGGATTTATTTTTGCTGTGTTGAAAATATCCACAACAGCACACTAAATTTAGCTTTGGATTTTGAGAATTGTTGTACCCATATATGGTTTTAGCATGTTGACAAAGAGCCACATTAAAGTAGTCTTAATTTTTATATAAATATACGTTTTAGTAGTTTAGTTTATTGGTAGAAGAAAAAGTGCAAATTAATAAATACACATGGTAAAAGAAATGCCAGAATTAGCCAAAAGGCTTTCTTCATCTGTAGTCCATTGGCAAGATGTTGAATAGGCTTCCTATTTTTTGGGTAATCAATAATAAAAATATATTAAACTCAAAGTAATACAGATTAATGAACCATCACACAACCCGTGGCACAGGTCTAATAAATATCTGCACCAATCTACCATGCAGCCTAGTCCATGTGACTGTAGCTGTATCTACAGCAGCAGACAGCACTTAAAGCTAGATATAGCAAAGGCTCAAAGCTACAGAACAGTCTGTGAGATCGACTGCCAATAATAGCAAGCAATGAGCAGCACTCCTCATTTCCATACTGTCTCAACTCCTCCTGCATTCTCCTCTCTTCCTCCCTCTTCGTCTCGCTCTGTCGAACTCACACCTTTTTTATCAGCGAAAGCTTTTTCTCAGGTCAAAATGTGCTTTGTTTTTTTTTATGTGTAATTGATGACGCACAAGAGTATGTGTGCGTGTGCACCCCCTTGCACGTGTGTGCTTGCATTGCTAATGTTTCTGAATTTATCTCCTCCCACACCATATCGGCAGGTGTGTCTCGTCTGTATGTAAGACGCATTCAGCCGAGCGTGTTATTGGTGCAGACATTTTTTTTTAATGAGCACCATCTGTGCACATCATGCTCCAAACCAAATGCCCTACCTGTGTGGGTGGGGGTGTGTGTGTGTGTGTGTGTGGGGGGGGGGGTGTCTTTGTTGTGTGTATCTGTGGTCCTCTCTGTTTGTTATAAGCTATGGTTTCTGATATTTCCTCTCTCCTCTGTGATGTCCTGTAGGCTATCCAGGAGGGTATCCTGCCACGGCTCCCACCTATACACCCAACCTCTATCAAACAGGCAGTCCTGGGTATCCACCAGGTGAGCCTCAAAACACACGCACACACACACACACACACACACACACACACACACACAGACAGACAGACCATTTGATGACTTTGTTTATATTTGACAAGGTAGTACCTTGGGAGAGTTAATTAGTGGGATGTTTGTAATTTTTCAAGGGAAAAAAAATCAGCGATAAACACAACACAAATATGACAGACAGTGTGTGGGGGATTCATTGAAGTTTTATGTAAAGGATGTCACACAGACACACTGGTTATATGCAGTTGAATTTACATTGTGTTTTTAACTGTCAAACTACAATTATGTGTGTAAATCTGCCTGCCCCTTTTTTGTTATTACAGAAAAATGTAAAATACAGAGCAGAATTGTAACGGGGTAAAACATAAGAAAATAATTAAGTAAAAACAAACATGCAGGCAGAGCTAAAAAGCCAAGAGCATTGTCGTGTGGCTTCTGTTGAAAAGAAATCACATTTCATGAGCCAAACCGCTATAGACAACAATAAAGCAGCCATCATCTGTGTAAACATCTTAATTGTTGGCATTGAGAAATTTCTTCAGGGTGTCTGTGCGTCTTAAAATGTCTAAAATCCAGTAATCTTCAGGTCTTAAAAGTTAATTGGATTATAAAAAGTAAATGTTACTTGTAAAAGTTGTAATTTTTCTTATTTTTAAATGTGTTTTTGGGTAAAACTTGTATTGATCATGCTGTTAACCATAACTACAAAGCCCAAAGCTGATGATGACTACTCCTAGTCCGTTGGTTGTGATTTCTTTCAAGTATATACTGAACAACCAATAACTGTGCCACCAATTTATTTTGAATAACTTTAAGAAATATGTTGCTTAATGCGTAATCATTGTGATTATTCAGTTCACATTCTGAGAAGCAGTTGAGTAATGTGTTGGTGTGAAATGAAAGTTAGTCAGTGTTTAGGTTAAGGCTGGAATAACCGTTAATGTTTTGAATAAATTACACATTGATGGAATTTTAATTTCAAGTCAGATGATCTATTACTGCTGCTGTTCCACAGAGCTGTACTGAATTTATGTGCCTATTATGCATACATAACCTAAAGCAAATGTTCCCCCGCATTTTTAAAACTTGTCTGAGTTATTTGTGATTCACATTTTGGTGTGAATCAAACGTTGCTTAGAAAAATTATACATATTAACATATTTTAAGCAATCAGAAGGTTGTTTTAGAGCACCACACAGGTTGCAATAATCTCAAGGCAATAAGTGGGGATCCCAGCATAAAGGGCATTGATGGTGAAGGAGTGGGAAGCTAGCCAGTAACAGCTGCCAGTGGTCTTATAGCAGCAGATACATACTCTGCTGGGCTTCAGTGTCTAGTCCCCATAGCAGATGGGAATAACAGTTGTCTCAGTGCTTCCCAGATCTGCTGTGTCTGTATAGATATAGATAGTTTAGTGTGACGGTCTGGAACTTTTCAGCCTAGAAACCCAGACAGAGTCCAGTGCGATCTCACTCTGGCTCATTGTCCTTTGACATGAATACTGTTATTTGGAGATGCAGATATAATATTAGGAAGACAAAGTTACAACTGATTTTTGATTATATTTCATCAAAATTTAAGATTTAAAAGCCCAAAACAAATTCTTAACTAGTACATTGCTTATCTCAGATCTTGTGATTATTTGAGGTGTATTTTGTACTCCAACTGAGTATAATCTTTACAAAGAAGTCTGTAAAACCATGTGCAAGGAGAAAGGGGCTTATACAAAAGAGATTAAAATAAAACATAAAGCATGCAACCAATGAACTGACCATAGGGTGGCAAAAAGGCAAACCTATCAAAATAACTTACTAAAAATGAGGAGTAATATTAATTTGCAATCAATCAGATGTTTTGTTTTACAATAAAAGTTATAATAATAAAGTTGATATTTAGGTGGTTCTGGTCAGAGGGATTGGATGGTAAATTGATAAAAGAATGAAAAGAACAATAAAATCCATGGGAATAACTGGTATTATCTGAGTGAATGTCTCAAAATTTAAAAAAAAATTGTCTTGGAAAGCATTAAGTAGATAATCACCTAAATAAAAACATTTGTGAAGTATTAATCAGCATGAGCAGATAAAAGATGAGATGTTCTGAACATGGTGACGGATAGATACTTGAATTGTGTCCTATTCCCCTGAATTTTAAGTATCCTACCAAGGCAGGATGGGTTTGTAGATCTCATTTGTGCTGCGTTTGAAGCCCCTTTACTCCCGTCCCCTCCCCCAGTATGGTTTTATCTTTTGGAAGTCTAACAAAATATCAGGTATGCTTTGGCAAAGCTCGCCCAGCTTTGTTCCAACAAAAGACTTGAACCTGATTATTGAGCCTTTCTTTAAATCTGAAATTCTTTTCATTCAGTGCTTAATGTATGGTGAAATTAAATTCTTGAGATTTTGTTTTGTGTCCTAGACAAAAATCAACCTCCAGACAACGCAGCTGTGGGCTGATTAGAAACATGTCTTGGTCAATGTCATTATTTCTCAAGACCATTGAATAGTCAAACTGTTTTCTATCAGCAGGGCTTTTGTGTGATTGTCACACACCATTGTCCTCTAATGCCCTGCATCCATGTTAGAGCAAAGAATGTGTGCAATAGTATGCGCGCACACACACACACACACACACACACACACACACACACACACACTTTCAGACACACATAGCAGCTCCAGCATCTCTTTGTTCCCTTGTCCTTGTGCGAGAAGCGCTTTCATAAGCTCCGCAGCAGCAACTAGCTAGTAGCATGTTTGACCTTCAGGCTCCTCCGAGTGGCGGTTCAGAGGTACTGCACCCCACAGAGCAGAGCCCAGTTACCAGTAGACGTTAATGCGGTGGTCTGAACCAGATGCCCTCACTGTCCTACAGGAGATCTTGTGTTTTTCAACCTTTTTTTTTCAGTGTAGTGACAGTTAAATAGTCACTACACTTAGAACATTTGTGGAGGTTTTAAAAGGTGCCACTGAGGATGGTAGGTTCCTTGACTGAATATACTCTATGTATATGCATATAGATAGACCTCACAAATGCTTTCCTCAGCAGTAAACAATGCAGAAAGCAGTCTTCAAAGATCATGATAAGACTGGCTAAATGATGCGTTTTTAGACCAACAAACCCTTTACTGTATTGTTTTGAGATGCAAGCCCCATTAAAAGACAGCACTAGCCCCCCATCTGGTGGTTTTTGTAGGAAATGCAAAACATGTAAAAAATAAAACAAAACGTTGCAATAAGAGTGCAGCTAAAGATTGTTTTCATTATTGAGTCATCTCCCAAATATTTTCTTTATGAAAGGATTAAAAAAAAGAGAGAGAAAACGGCAAAACAAGCCATTAAATGTCACAACATTTCCCCAGAGGTCAAGGTAACGTCATTTAATGTCTTGTTTATTTTATGGCAACGTTCCAAAACCCCTGAATATTCAACTTACTATAATTTAAGACAAGAAAAAGCAGACGGAGCAGTCTAGTGTTGGGTATCTTTGCTTTAAAAAGGACTTAAAGCAGATAAGTTGCAGATAACTCCTCTGTCAGTCGACTGAAACTTGAAATAAACTGTTGGTAAAAGTGTGTTTTTGAGACAAATTGGTATGATTGTGTATGTTACAAATTTGGTTTGTACTGGTCCACATCTAACATAGCTAAACATGTTGTATCTAAAGACAGTATTTAACAGTAAAAAGACCTTACTAAGAACCTCAATTAGAGTATTTGCATTATATTCTATAAAAACTTCTATAAAAAGCTGCTATAATCAATATTTATTAATAATGGATCACATGACTACTTGTATGAGAGAGAGGTTGATTATAGTCACAAACCCCTCAGCTCTTCAAAGCGTTTCAGCATCTTAAAGGTCATTGTTTTGGTTTTACAGACTACTGGCAATTTGAATGTTTTCGTTCACTCACGGCTCTTATCAGCATTGGATTCCAGATGCAGCCGGGAGCTGTTTTCAGTGAAAAAGCTCTGAAAACCTCGTATGCTACTTGTCCAGCACCAAACGGCAAACAAAGTGGTAGTGGAGCTTTAAGCAGCTACATGTTTCCCTCAGGAGTAGGTGGAGACTAAAATGGAGCTAAAGGAAGAATTGACTAAACTCCAAATAAATGCTAATGTTGCTTTGTTTCTGGCAGATGTGTAAATAAATAATTTCCCAAAAAGTTCCCCATATCAACTTACAGGTGATACTGTGTCAGTGTTTTGTTTACAGTGTTGCTCTGCCCACAAATAGCCATAAAATCAGTTACCGAAGGTGTAAGACAACAAAATCTCATCAGTTATTAAATATTGCGGGTTGCTCTATTGTCATTTATTTCTAAATCCTCCTTCCTTTCTCCCCTCCTTTTCTTTTGACTGTTTTTTAGGATATACTTCAGCAGGCACCCCATACAAAGTGCCCCCCACTCAATCAAATGGAGCACCCCCTCCCTACACCCCGACCCCAACCCCATACCAAACAGCGATGTACCCCATCCGCAGTGCCTACCCTCAGCAGAACATATACGCACAGGTGAGTAAATTGAATTAAAACTGACATTACCTCGCAGGCACAGTCTGTACTTTGCTACTAAAAAATGTTGATCAGATTTGTTGCGTCGCACCTGTTTAGTTGGCGGTGCCATTTAACTTAATCACCACCGTAAATGTGCTCAGGTTGTCTGGGTGGTTGATTACACTTTACAGCATATGAACACAATCAGGTGAAGCAATTTTACAGATGCAAATGGTCTGTCATCTTTGCTTTAAAACAACTTTTGCATTTGGGTCACGTCTCCTTTCTGGCAGAATTGTCCTTTACATAACATTTTATCCCTTCAGGCTGCAGTGATGGAGCTTTGATTCAGACCCTGTATTATGTTCAGTGTGTGGATGAAATGACTGGAAAGAGAATTTCCTGTTCAAGAATCAATTAGATTAGAAAACAAGCCACTGTCAGTTCTGTTATGTTTAAATGCCATTAAATGAACTGTCGTTTAATCAAGAGTGTAGAATTCTATGAATATAAGCAACGGGTTGTTTTGTATTGTATTGTTGCAATGTTAATATAATTAATATATATATGTATGTATGTATGATATATATATAATTAACAATAAGTCTGCAGGGCCATCATTTTGTTCTTTTCTAATTTGATGCTATAGATCTCTTTAATGGTTAAATAGGTTGAAAAGAAAAGAGCAGAAGCAGGAAGGGAGATGGAAAAGTAGTGTGAATGTTTTCTGTCTACTTATGTTCCTGCAGTGGAAAATGAACATGAGTAGTTAAACCATATTCTCAGACTTCCTTCAAATAAACATAAATACATGTTGTACTAAGCTTTATACACACACACACACACACACACACACACACACACACACACACACACACACACACACACACACACCACCTCGCCAACCCTTTCCTGTATTCATCCTGACAGGGAGCGTATTATACCCAGCCAGTGTATGCGGCTCAGCCACATGTGATCCATCACACCACCGTGGTGCAGCCTAACAGCATCCCCTCTACAGCCCTCTACCCCGCACCCGTCCCTGTACCTGCTCCCCGCAACAACGGCATGGCTGCCATGGGGATGGTAGCTGGGACAACCATGGCCATGAGTGCAGGTAGGACCAGAACCACTCATTACTATTTCTTTCAGTTTTGACATGCTGACTCTCTGTTCTCCCTTGTGAACTGTGATCATTTATTTATGCTGGAATTTCTTGCTCTTATACAGACATGTTTCTACTTTCCTTTGCTCTCTGAATGTCTGTGAGCCCCAGCCCTTTTGTTTTGACTTGTATTAGGTTGAATAGGTTTATGTGCTTGGCCATGGTCCGGCCCATATATCATAAAAGAACAGACTATAAATAAAGCAAAGTAATCATTATAAACAGCTCAAGTATAAATGGATTTCTTACATTCATTCTGTTATTTAGTCTACCTTCAGGGTTAATTGTATATGTACAAATTAGGTAGTTAAGTGTAAATTGTCACAGTTGCTAAAATGCTCAAAAAAGGGGAAATGTACCACAATGGTTGAAGAAATCTGTAGCAATAATGTATGAAAATGCTACATGCTAAAGTCCATTATATACAATGATCACAACCACAGAGAAAGGACAAACCAAGCCTGTTCAGCAGATGGATTCACAAATTGCTAAAGCTCATTAATGGTGTTGTTAACTTCCTGTAGGGACCCTGCTGACAACGCCCCAGCACCCCCAGATTGGAGGACACCCAGTTACTGTGCCAACCTACAGGCCCCAAGGGACACCTGGGTACAGCTACGTACCGCCTCACTGGTAGAGCCCACTCATCATGTGAGTGTCTGCCCTCCTGTTGTTTGCTTTCTTCCTCTTTTTTGAGATGTTCCCTACCACCCCAATTTTCTCTCCTCCATCTGTTTCCTCCACAACCCCACCACCACCTCCTCTCCTCCTTTTTTCATTTCTTTTTCATTTCTTTTTTTGTTCTTCTGTTGTCTCTTTGACTTGAACAAACTGCACTGCCTCACATTTCTCTCCCTCAGAGGTCTGTGGCAGTCTTAAATCAATCACCAATGTGTACCTCTGCTCTTCTTTCCCACCAGATCTGGAGTCCACCATCGTATGCAACTGCTCAAATCTTACACGGGCTCCCACTGGTAACCACGGGAACTCGGCACCTGTCTGCAAGAACAAAACTAAAGTGCAACAGCCACTTTACTATTATTGTTATTGTTATTATGCGACATTCTCTAACTTTTTTTTTTTTTTCCTCCAAAAGCTGCTTTTATTTTTTTTTCATTTGCCAACCAGTCATTACCTTATTTTGTATGGTTTATTTTTTATTTTATTTCCTTACTTTCTGTTGCTCTGTCTGTCATTGGAACTCCAGAAGGACTCTTGACCAATCACGGGTGTCAGTTGCTCCTGTTTCTGTGTTGTGCTGGTGTGTGTGGTCCTTCCTGCTGCTGCTCAGTTGGCTGGAAAATATTGGGCACTTATTCCTCATTATCATCTTCATCGGTCACTACAAAGACTTGTTGACTTATGCTGCCAAATTTTCTAACGACTAGATATCAGCACAGGCTTTTAACATAATTAGGGTTTTTATTTTTTTCAGGTTATTTAATTATTTTAATACTCTTTTCTTTATACCACATTACACCTGAATTACTTTATCTGTTTCTGTTTTTTCCTACCTTTTGTTCTTCCTTCCTCTTCATCCTTTTTTTAATTTTATTTTTTACCTGTTTAATTTTTCAGTTTTATCTCAGTCGTCTTCCAGCGCGTAGCTGTCTGTCCGGCAGTAGTCAGTCTATCGTCCCTGCCGTTACGTCTCCATCTGAGTGCTATGTCGCTATGAGCAGAGCACTTACTGACCATTACCCATCCTGCTGCGTGTCCCACTGTGTCCACATTAGCATAGTACCGAGTACACACTAAGAAAACATCACATACTTCATGCTACATACTATGCAGGCTAGTATGTTGTGACACTATCAACATCTTAACCTTAGCGTAGGTCAGTACATTTAGAAAATGTACACATATTTATAATAACGGTGTCAACAGTATGGGTGGTCATGCACACTCTCTCTCACATAAACACACACACACACACACACACACACACACACACACACACACACACACACACGGGGCTCCTGTGGTGTGTTGGAACACACATGATCACTTAGTGGCACTTGCTGTACAACACCTCCAGTTACATTGTTACTGATCAACACACAAGCAAACATACACATATATGACATGGATTTCTAGGAGTGTGCATGGCAGACAGCAGAGAAGGAGTTTAAAGGGATTGGTTTGGCAGTAAGGGAGGAGAGCAGGACGAGGAGAGGAGAGCAGACGACAAGGAAGGAGGAAGAGGTCACATGTTCACAGTCGGTAATTTCTTTTCAAGGTACAAGACATTTGAGTTTGTGACGGCTCCCCTGCAAGGGACTGCACAAACACACTGCTGTTTTTGCACTACATGTATTGTACATTGATTTCCTCACTGTGATTATATCGTCTCCTCCTCCTTCCTTCTTCGAGGCAAGGACCTATAACCAAACGTTCAACAGATAGATAAAGACCTAGACTCTTGAAAAAATAGTTGATGATGGACCAGTCAAATGCATGTGCTGATAGATGGATAGGATTTAATCCACTAGTCCATTTCACAGTGCTGTGAGTGCTGGAAAGACCAAACCAATGACATGGATGGTTATGCACCACACTTGGGGAAGCAGGCTGTAATGTGTTTACACCTGGTCCATGTCATAGGGATGATTTCTTAATCTCAGATTTTGGGTCCAAATTTGAACTTGGTGGGTGTTCCCATGTGAATAGCAAGAGCAGAATGAGAGTACGGTCATCAAAAAGGTGCTGAATTTAGTGTTTAGGGTTATAAAGAACATTAAGAAATATTAGCAGGAGTGCAGAGCTGTCATGATGCAGTGTCACTCAGTTTTAAACCGGTTCAGTCCAGTTGGGGGTCCGGGAGCCAGTCCAGCATGACCTCCAGGAGCTAACAGGAGGCCTTTTAGCGTTTTTAGTAGTTTTTATGAAAAACAATCATCCCTTTGTTCACTGTGCTTTTTTTTTCCTTTTTCTGCAAGAGTTGGAGATTGACACATATCTGCTTCTACTGACTGCATTTAAACATTATTCTCCATTTTTAAGAATCCAGTATGAACCTTGATTTTATTAAAATTGTCATTAGCTGAGGATAATATTTGAGCCAATGAGACATGGACCATATACAGCCATTTTTCTGTTGCCTTTTTATGCTTCTACATGTAAAGGCATTAATGTACATGCAAAGGCATTGGTGACCCATCTTCAACACTACAAATACACTGAGTAGTGGTGGTGGTGGTGGTGGTTTAATATTTAGGTGAGGCCTGTGGTATTTTTCAGGATTTACAAAAAAAAATAAGACTCAAACCACAACTTCATGATCTGTACAGTACAGATTGGTATAACAGAAAGCATTTACTGCGCGGGTATGTAGACGAAGTGGTTTGATATTGCAATAAAATAAGAGGGAATGCCTCAACTGTTAACATACAGTAATTATTTTATCAGCGTTTTGAATTGATTTAAAAAAAAAAGCTTATTGTAATCTCTAAATATGGATTACAGGCTCTGTATGCAGCCTTCATTCAATAATTATTACAGTTACTGCTAAGAAGAGTAGAACATATCAAGAATTTGGGTATTGAATAACTTTGTGAGGAAATATTGCACAACATAAAACAAAAAAAAAACTTGATGACTATAATTTAAATGCTAAGTAACAGGTACCTAGGCTTTGTAGTGCAGGAGGGAGGAAGAAGCAATTTATATTGTAATTAAAAAATAAAACAATAAGGTCGAGTGTTTGAGGTATTCTTAGTCCAGATGTTTGTACACTAGTAGATTAATTCTCAAGAAAATATTACATAATGCTGCTGTCGGATGAAAACTGTCGATCCTTGAGCCTTATTTTTTAAACGACCCTTGTATTTTAGAAGATCTCAAGTGGGTGTTATCGGCATGAGGGTCATAAAATGTTCCCACCATGTAAGGATCTTGTATATTTTAATTCAAGCCAGTAAAACTGAAAAGTCAAACTGGATTTTCTTGCGACAGCAGTAATATTACTCGTCATTAGGATTTATTTAACCAACCACTACTTCTGTCAGTATTTCTCAGTTAAATCTTATGGTTTGTTTTGGGTTTTTTTTTTTCCTTCTTTCCCTCTGGTCAATTGAGCATAATGGGTATGCATAATATTCAGGTGTATTTCACTATAGCATTGGATCTCTAAGTTTAAAAAAAAAAAAAAAAATGCAGTATATTTATACAGCAAGTGGTACAGTAATGTATTTCTAGCTAAGCATGGTTGCATCAGTGTGGCAGCTACTGTTTGTGCTTTTAATATTCTTTTTTTGTTTTACCTCTTCTGCATCTGTGTCGTCTACATATCTGTCACTGAGGGGAGGGGGAGAAGTTAAGACGAGGTCTAGTAAAGAAGCTTTAGGACTTGTGGAAATTCTTGTCACCAAATCCCCACATTTTTATAATTATTGCCTGAATTTACTGACCTCGAGGAAGCAGAGGATTAATGACAGAACTGAAATGGATAGCATTTTTTTTTTTTTTTTTGGTTCACTGTATAAGGTTGCCGTGATGCTTTTGGAAGCCACCTTTACGGTCCTTTTTCCGTTCTGCGGGTGCGAAGATGTAATGAGCGACAACGAAAACCCTCAGCCTCCATGACTTTTGTTCTGTGCCATATTTCACCAACAGTTGTTCGATTAAAAATAAGTTTCTTCTCCTAATTAACTGGTGAATTCTGAGTCCTTGTTATGTCTAGCTTCCTGTGAAATCTGTGTTTTTCCTATTGCTGTCCTATTTCTCACATTGTTGTTAATGCATATTGCCTGTCTTACCTTTTTATCTTTCTTACTGTTACCTCTGTGTTGATCCTATTTTTAAATTTGTGCCACAAATCCCTTCAGAGGCCATTTTGCATCCCGCAAACCATTCAAACATTTATCACATTCAAGGATGCAAATTGGTGCACATGTTCTGCTCGCTCCCTGGTCCACCTTTACCTTGTTTTTATTTTATTTTTAAACCCTCTGCTCTCTGTCTTGTGTTTTTTTTTTTTTTTTTTTTTTTTGGGCCTTTTATGTGCTTTCAGTCTGACCGTTGGAACCTCCCCCGTCTCAGTCGTCATATTGAACTATATGATGGTCATTAAATTGGTGTCACTCACAGCGATGATCTGTTGTACTTTATTGCCATTTCTGAAATTTCCACTAGATGTCGCCAGTGACAAAGTCTGGAAGTGGTACCACCATGGTTCAAGGCTCTGACAAAAAATTGTTATTGGTATGATTAACATTTAAGAATCTCAACTGGATGCCACATTTTGAGCACTGAGATGTTTTGGGGGGTGGTGAGGGTCTTTTTTCCAAATTAAAAGTCTTATTTCCTTTTAAGACACTTTCAGAAATGGTATTTTAGACAACAAAAAACAGACCTCACAAGGTTTAATTTGTTTTTATTGGAGGAGATGATCATTTAAGAGTTTTTTGCTTTTCTGTGCTCGGGACCAATGCTCTTAAAAACTGTAATTCTGTTTTTAACGTGGAGGCTCAGTAGAAAGGCAGACCCACGGAGCATTTCGGATAGTTGGGTTTTAAGGGTGGTGAAACTGCTTCCTCATTTCACTCCATTCTTTGCCTCTCATTTCTTTCAATTTGCACTTAAGTTAAAATGGACAGTTGAACACTTTGATGTGTTTTTAGAAGGGGAAATGCAAAGTTGTCTTAATCATGGGTCTTTTTATCATCTTTTTATTGGCCATCATTCAGTCCTTGGTGATTTCCAAACACTGAAAGGTGGTCATTTTAACTAGGATTACTTCTTTTTTTCTCCACATATTTTAACCTTGCGCTTATTCACTTTGACAGTGAAAATGCAACCAGAACCATTCATAACACCTCCTGTCCTTCCATCTACCCTCCTCTCCCTCTCTCCTTCTTCTTTGCCTTGCAGTTGCTAAGTCTAAGGTTTTATTTCCTTTCATGAGTATAAATTAAAACACTACTATCACAGTGAATAGTAGGCTCTTAAATGTCTTCGATGTTCTGCTGCAGCTTTTTTTAATTTCAATTTGTCAGAGATATCTCTTAGTTTTAATTTGACACTAAATGTGATGCAAAAAGTGGAAATTCCTTGTCTTCCAAAAAACAGCATACTTGTATCCCCACTGGATCGAGTATTAGGAACAACCCCATCTTTGGAAGTTTTAGTTTGGTACCCAGTTTGCACATGCTATGGTATATCTGTTACCGTAAGGTTGTGTTTGAAACAGAAGCCCAACGTCTGTTCAGCGTTGAGAGAAGTGAATTGTATGTTAGCTATTTGGTCCGGAGTGAAGGACCAGCGTCAGGCTTGTGATATGAAGTGTAAATCTGTTTTTAATTTTTGTTTTTTTACGTTTTTTCGTTGTTGAGGGTTTTTCTTTCTTTTTTTTTTTTTTTTGTTTTTTTTTTAAGATCAGTTAGTGATCTTAGTACTATAACTAAGCCAAGTTTGTAATTGTATATTTACTGTAAAATGTAGAACATTGAATAACTATTAAAATTTTCCTATAAAAGGAAGCTTGTCTTGTTTGACCATTTTGTTGCCTTTCATATTTCTCCTTGTACAACAGAGACTCAGATCTAAAATGTGTTACATTTTCCTGAAGTGATGAAGTGACCACAAGGGATATAGTTACAGGCCAAGTCAGACCCTCACCCACTAACACAGAACTTCTTAGTAGTGAAAGAGGTGAGATTCTTTGTAAGTGTGAGTCACAAGTCAAGCACGATTTATATCAAACGAAAATGTTGCACCTAATTGGATTCATATATATATTTATTAAAATGTACAGCTCGCTTTTAAGTTGTTGATTTGGATTTAATTTGTGTCTTAAGATAAATGCAAACAAATTTAGAGTGGCTTTGTATGGTCATTAGTGTACACTGTAACAGTAGACAGTGATTATTCTTGGAACCAGCTAATAATAAAACATTTTGATGCAACCTCCCAAAAAAGAAATAGTTGTGTGGAAACAGTCCGTCACCTTTCTACAGTATTACCTGATGACACCACTTTATGAAGAAACAATCTCACCCTGAGGTCCATTTGTGGTGGGATTGATTTCAAACCTTTATTCTCAACTAATGCTCAATTTCCCAACATTTCCAAAGGCAGAGAAGCAGAAGACTGTGAGTTGGCAAACATGGGTGTAAAGAATGCATGATTTAAAGTGTTGAAAATCTGTTCTATGAATGTTTCGAAGAAGGAAATAAACTCAACATGCTTGTCTACACAGGTAACGTGCATAATTTTGGTTTTATTAGCAAAACAAATGAAACTGAAAGATGATGATGTGGAAATCAGTGACATTTGTACTGTAAGTGAGTGGATTTTAGTGGGACAAAATAATAAAGAAACCAGGGGCTGTAGCCCTGAATCAGTGGATTTATGGAGGTCCATTAAATTGTGCAGTGAAATAGAAGAATACTGAGTATAAATATACAGAAACCAGCCTAAACAAATCCCCACCAAGCGTACATTTTTAACAGTAGAATATAAACTCCCCCAAAGTTTGTTAAAACCTTCAAAATCCAAGGCTGAATGTTCCAAAATCATTGTAATATTTTGTTCTGTTCCAAGACGAGTGGATGTAAGGACACCAACACTGACGAGGTTTGTGATCCTAAAGTACACTCTGTATTCAAATAGAAGAACTAGAAAGCATTATTTCCTTTTTGGCTGAAATAGACAGAACACTCAGTCTTTCACTTCTCTCTGCATCCATCACCAGACATCCTACGCGGTTGTGCAATACCAACCACCACTCATACAGATACACGCACTACTGAACAAACACTGACACACACCTCTTTAATGCATAATGCCCCACCAAACACACACACACACACACCTCGTATCTTGATCCCTTACAACTGTGTGTGTGAGTTGATTGCTGCTGGCACGATGCAGATAAGAAGATTCAGTCTGTTTTGATTTTAATCGGGAAAATGCTATTTCTCATTAAATATATTAATATATTAATAATCTATTAATTAATCCTTTGTGGGTATTTAAATATGTATTTTCCAGTTAGATAACTGTGTTGCAGGGATTTTAATCTCATGCTAAGTGCACTGCCATATCCCTGTTAACTATTCTTATCTTGCTTACTACAATAATATCCACCATACAACAGTTCTTAGCCACCGGTCATACCAGACCAAGTAGTGCTGTAGCAGTAAACCCTTGAGGGTGTTGAGAAAAGATGTGTTTTATGGCTTTTAAATTCAGCTGTTAACTTCATAAGAGGAAAGAGTTTTCATGTATTTATTTTTTACAAATATTGGAGAGGAGAGTGTGGAAGAGTCAACAACACTGAGACAAGAAGTGTCGAATGTCAGTATTTAAGGTTACAAGTGTTAATGATAATGACCACAGCGGCTGTAGAGGTTCATCAGGCCAGATCGTACAGCAGAACACATGGCCTCACAGCACGAGGTTTAACCCTCTTCCTGTAAGTACTTCAAAATATGATTAATTCAGCATCTGTGCATCTGCATCGGCAGTCTGTTAAGCTGTTATTAGAATTGGTGATTAGAATTAAATCACGGATGTGTTGCGTTTTTGGATAACCTATGACATTCATCTTGCTGTTACAACAAAAGCCTGCATACTCTGATCACTAAACATGCTTTAACATGTGGGAATCAGCCTTTTTTATTGTATATGTACACTAGGTTTATATCAGTGGTTCTCGGCCTGGGGTCCAGGTCCTTGAGGGGGTTCCAGTGGGTCCACAGACAAATAGGGAATATTTTAATTTCATTATCATTTGATGTTGACTACTGATGTCTGTGATTTTGGGATTCCTTGGCACCAAGAAGGCTGATAACCACAGGTATATATTTTGCTGTTTCCTCATGCGACAGCCATTCTTTACATCTGCTCGGGTTTCGCCTCCTGATTATAGGCTCCTCGAGGAGGAACAACACATCCTGCACAAAAAAAAAAGTCACACCTGATATTTATGAGAATTGAAAACCTGCTATTTTAAGATGATTTTCAGGTCTTCAAATCCTTTTTTGTAGCTTTTCCCCTCCAGGTTTCCTGTTATAATATATTAGAACTATTAGAACTGGTGCACACACTGGGTGCTGCAGTGTATTTGAGCTGTCAAGTTTTCACTCATCTGTGTCTCTAACTCACATGCAGCAAAATACACAACTCTTTAAAACAGACATTGAGTTAAATCATAACATCCTGTTGCAGACGACTCCGGCCATAAATACTGTACATAGACACACAGTTGCACACAATTGATTCTGTCTTTAGACAGTTGTTTCAGGGTTTCTTTTAGGTCGAATTGAAAGCGATAGACAACCTGGAAAGAAACAAATGTGGGTTGTGCAAACACTTCATCTCTGAGTGGAATTAATCCTGAAGGCATTTTCTATGGTTGTTAAAACCGTGTGAAAACAGCCTGTCACACACTGGAGAATTCAAACTCAACACTTACTCAAACTCAAGATTATGCTCGAGTGGAGTACACAAACCTTACGGTCATTTGAATGTTTTCCAGGAAGTGTTTGTTGGGAAACCACACACAAAGACTATTTGGTTCAGCTCTGTGTTATTGGAATAAATTAACGTGGAAGTGTCACACTGCATCCACTAAGACCAGTGAGAAGCAAACATACAAATAAAATGGTTGTTTGATGATGTGCCACATAGTTATGTAACTTACATAACAGCACTTCAGCATTCAGAGACAACCACTTCACACTAGAAATGCCATTTTTGTTAAAGATCCTAGACGTAAGTTTGACCTTTGCACTCTATACCAGCTGCCCCCCTTCATGAGGACGTAAGGTTGGAGCTGTTGGAGCCGAGCTATACTGCAGAGCAGATGCAAAGAGGGGCGGAGGCCTAACGTGGATGCTTACGGGTCGGAGAAGCTCTTGCGATACTCATTACGAAATCTGCTGATTAAGCTTTGAGCAACTTGTTTCTGAGGGGAAATGAACTTCCCTTCCCTGTCTGCACACGTCTCGGTTTCAACATGAGAAATGAACTCATTCAGAAGAAGACGTCTGCTGGATGAATGTTGACCCTTCATCCCATAAGTGTTTTTATTTCCCCTATCAGCAGCAAAAAGACAAATCCTTATCATCTTACATGATTTATGTTTGCCACAGTTGGCCTTAAAGTGGTGCTGTATTCCTCTGTCAGCTGTCTCAAGTTGTAACGGTTAGGTTTACTTCTATTTGCAGATGTTATTTACATTTGGTAAAACCAACAGTTTTGCGCTGTTGTGTCAGTGTGTGTTTGAGGGGAATGGTCAGTTGTTTACTAATTCTCTTCGTCTATCTGACAATCAGTCAAATTGTTTGTCTCTTCCCCAGAAGAGTCTAATTCTTGTGAATACCATACAAGGGAACTCCCTTGAATCACCCTCATAAACACTTTTCCCCACTTCTCATGCAAACACACACTCATAACAGGGACTTATCAGCCCGTAGCCTCTTAGGATTTATTCATATAAATCACACACACACACACACAGACACAGACACACACACACACACACACACACACACACACACACACACACACACACACACACACACACACAGAGTTAAGAGCAACAATACAGTTTTATAGCAGTCAAATAAAAATAATTGTAGAGTGACAGTAACATGAACAAGCAGCAAGCTGTCAATGATTGTCAACATATTAACAACCATATTACTGCTTATACAAGAACAACGTGAGAACAGTCAGCTCTCTCCACATCTGATACTGACAAGTTTGTTTAATAATAGGCCAAAATGATCAGATTACAAAGGACAGATTTGTTGTGAATGAGGAGGCTTACAAAAATTCCCTTTCACATGACAAACTGAGAAAGTAGATGATCTCTGAGCAGCCGTGACTCACCGGCCACAACACCGAAGGCAAAAGCAAGAGGCTACATAATGTACAATAATATTTTGTGTCGTTTTTGGAAACAGAAACACGGAATAACAGTGGTTTCCTGCAGACCTCAGGATGCAAAACACAACCATTACTTCTAGTGTCACTTCCCACAATAGCTTCTGTACTTTACCACAGCATTAACATGGGAACTAAAATGTGTGAATGACACTAAGCACGCCACAACCTAATAAAAGCTGAAGGGACAAATGGCAGCCACAGCCGCTTTCATTTACACCTTTATCGTTCAACCAAACTCCTTCATTAGTGCTTTGTGATGTTTACAGGATGTAACATAAAGTTGTGCTGCGGTTTCCCAAATTTTGTGTCTCTGTCGGGGCCCTCTCTCTTATCAGATATATTCTGATGGAAACCGGATGCTGGCCAGGAAACAGCAATGTTGACAAATCAAATAAGAGTTCAATAAAAGTCACATAAAATCCCAAACGAAAGATTAGACCCAGTACATGAAAAACAGTCCTGTCACTGTCAGCCATGTTTACCAAAAGTCTCCTAGGATCAGTGTCAGTGATTGATGGTGGTTGGTGTGCCCTGTAACGGGGGCAATGACCATAATCATTTGGCACTTGAAATGATTTTTATTGATATTGGGACACTTTTGTGTGAGCTTATACTCCAAGAGGTGTCCCATGAGTGGACCTCAACTCATAACCTCAATATCAGTAAAATCGTAAAATTGTTTAAAGCAAGTTTAACCCTCAATTTCAACAGTGCTCATAAAGCATACATACTGTTGCTATGGATACCTCTAATGTAACGTTCCTTGCGCCTTGATTTAGAACGGTGATTAAACTACTGACCGGAACTATGTTTTGACGTACTTCTAAAGTACACGCCAGGCAGTCATAAAAACAAATGTTTCTCGTGATTATATATAATTGTTTAACAAATACTGACAACGCAGGCTAAAAATAACAATATTAACAATAATATTTTGAATCGTCTCCCCCCCCAGTGGTGTGGCTCATTTGCGCTTGCGTGGACCCCAGTGTAGCGCGCCGTTGTCCTGTGCCGCAGCGGCGTTAGCAACAGTGTGTAAAGTGTGTGCAGCAACCGGAGTCGGTCCTAAGCGTGCAAGTCCGAGACACAGAGACGCAGCGAGTTAAAGCCACACTTGTCCTCGGTGTTAATGATATATTAAATAGTCACAGTGACTTTTTTTTTACACTAGTTTCCCCTCCCTTGTTCTTCCTCCACGCTCAACTGCGGTCTGCTGTGAGGAGCGACAGAAGGAGCAGGACGAGTCCTCTGCCATGGCTGAGTCGCCAACTTGTTAATGTTGCCACTTTGTTTAATTTGCTGTCACTCAGGGTAAGTTGCGTTTATTTTTCGTTTTTTATTATTTATTTTATTGCGTCTTCTCTCACCAACTCCTAAAGAGATGTAATAATATATCTAGTTAAGAGCATTTGAATCCAACGAGTGATTCCCATGGCGCACAAAGCGTGGCTGTGTTGCTAAATACCAATCTTAATCATGACAACTATTTGTGGCATTTTAGCAACAGTGGTATCATTGTGATATTCTAATTACAACTTTATAGTTTTTTATTGTGACGTCTGAATCTTTTATACGTGTATTAAAGCAGTACTATCAGCCAGGAGAAGGTTGAAATGTTAATGTAATAGAAACTGAACTAAATGAACCACATGCACAAAACAGTAGGACGCTTCTGGTGTCCCTAAACCCAACAAGCCTGGAAACTGTCTTCCTGGAGGGTGCAGGAGTGTGCAGTTTCAATCACTTACTGCACTTTTTGATAAGAGTTTTCCTGCTGGGATAACATCAGAGTCCTTGCATCTCTTCCCAGTTTCTCCCCCCCAGTGTTTTTTTTATATCAAATCCCACACAAAACCCAATGAAAGCTGCACAGTATGCTGCACAGTGGCATGCCCGAGGGCACCAGGGCTTTACTGTGCACATACCAGGTGTGACTATTTGATGACTGCATCTATGTGAAGTTTGCAGGGAATGTAGTGTGAGGTTTTGCAGAACATCACAGTGAAAATGAAAGGAAGTATGCTGAAGGTCTCAAACCACAAAAATGAGGCCACGCTGAATTGGATATTGTGTCAGATAATTAAAGGATGAACAAGAACAGGCCAGACATGGTATTTTATGTTTGTTAGTTCCTAGTCCTGTACTGCTATGAATCTTATCTTGAATCTCTACATAGCTTTGTTTGTTTTTCAATACTGCATCTGCCAATATGACCAGAGTTGTGTGACGAAGAAGCAGTGCGTCCACAAAGCAGCTGCCGGTCTTTACATCAACCATCTATCTAGGACAGTGTTTAACAACCCTGGGGATTAGGTTTACTTTACAGAGAACAAACTGAGAAAGCATCCTCCGAGGTAGTGTAGGTGACACAAAGATAGCTGCCAGCCAAATGCTCCCAATAGAAAGTAACAAGACCTCCCATTCAGAGCAAAGACAATGTGCAGAAGTTACAAAATACAGCAGGCTATAATACATATTACTGTTTACACATGTGTGTGCGGAGCTGCAACTAATGTTTTCTTTCATTATTAATAGATCTGGTGATTACTTTAAACTGAAGATGGTGGAAATAGCATCACACTTTTCCTAAGGCAAAGTCGACGTATTCAAATGTCTTCATTTGTTTGACTAGCACTAAAACCTCTATCTGCAATTATGCAATTTTGTGTCAAATGACAAAGCACAACAGCAAATCATCACAATTGAGAAGTTTGAAATGTATCATTTTTTGCATTATTCCTTGATGAACAATTAATCAAAACCAATCCATTTTCTTTTTTTCTTTTTTTCCAGCTCTACACGTATAATTGCGTAGTCATTACATACATCATCTCTGCTTTTGATGACCACAGTGGATTAGTGCAGTTTTTGCAATAAGTTAATATTACACAACTTTAAAGGTCAAACATCAGAAAGGGAACTACCTAACTCCAGTGAAAAAACATGTTGTCACATCATGGACTGGGAATAATAACCGAGAATTGTTCGGATGGGCAGTCACGTGTGAAGACACTGGCACACTCGCTATGGGACTTTTGGCATGGTTACTCTGTTTTTAGTGAAGATTCCTTTCTGCCCAGCTTCTGTGGGTGTTTTGTCTGTCTGACTGGGGACAGACTAATGTAACACTGGTTTAGAGACACTCAGGCAGAGACAGAGAGATAATAAAAGGGTAGAGGGAGAGAAACAACCAAAGTTGTTTCCCGGACAAAGTTAAATGCACAGCATTCTCTCACTGGGTAAATAATCAAGATCTCAGTGGCAGCCATCTCAAATATGCCAGCCAAATGGCTCCCTAAAATTGGTAGTGTAATGCGATTGTCCTCAGATAAATCTGACTTCTCTGGTCTCAGTAGGATTTAGAGAAATCACTCCTATAATTTGTCTTAATTGGAAACCATAGCGACCGGAGCTAGTTTAAAAGAACTACAGTATCATTCTCCAGGATTGTCAGAGATGCATTGGGGAATCAGTCAGTTTAAGACATTTTGTTTCTTTTAGTCCTGTCTTTATGTTTTACTGACTCTGCTTTTACCAAAGCTGCATTCACATTCCCTCTGCTCCACGAACCCATGACAACAGCCACCGCAGTGCACAGGCTAACTGCTACCTACCACTCTGTTAAGCTTATGATGAGCTTTTTGCCTCACCAGAGGTGTGTATCAAGCTGTTACAGCAACTTACTGCAGCTTATGTTTGGAAAAACATGTTTTTCTATCAACTTTGAAAGGAAAAAATAGCAATTTGCCATTCCGGAGCAAAAACACATGCCTAGACAGACAACAACAGTGGGAAATATCTTGTCCTTGGGATAAGGGTGCATTATCAGTCAAGCCTTTGTTATTACAGATAGAAGAGAGAAACAACATAGGTTTGCATAGGTTTCTTATGAGTGCTGTTTCTCAGACCTTTGAACATCTCTAATTTGTTCAGCAAATCAAATAGATCTGGTGTTGTGCTTGTTGATGGCAAATGGAAAACAATTGAACAGTCTTTGTTGGTGGAAGTAGGGAAGTTGTCTTTTGAGCTACATCCATGAAAAAATTCCCACAAAAAAATGCAAAAGTTGAGATTACTTCAACTCTACGCGTTACTATTACTAACTTCAGAACTTCTGTCACTGTTTTTCATGAAGGATGCAAGACCTGACCAAACTGAATTGCTGAAAGAATCAGAGATGTGGATGGTGATTCAGAAGTCCAGAACCAGGCTAACAAGAAATTACTGATGCAAGTTGTAATTTCTTTTTGGGGGGCTAGTTCTTTGACCCTTAAGCCACCAGGGAGCTAGAAAGCGGTATATTTCTTCATCTGTCTGGCAAAACAGTACACAAGGGGCTCCAAGAAACCGCTACCCCAACCTCTGTGTCAACTGAAAATGACTGAGCGTCTGGAGTTTTAGGGCAAAACAAAACAAATTTGCCCCAGCCACTGAACCCAGTGTCAGGCTGAATGAATGAAGTGAAACAAAATGACAGTTTAATCTGACGATCATGCTAAAAGGAACCTTGTGTTGTATCCCCATTTAGGTTTCAGTGCGTGATGCCTCACTGCCCTGTCTTCTTCATTTTACTTGTTTCATCAGAGCTTCATTCACTTCCTCGTGTGTGGCAACTGCAATAATCACATGCAGATCAGCCTGAACGGCTGTCTATTAGTCTTTACACGTCTGATGAAATCCTTAGTCCAAATCCTTACAGCAACGCGCATCAACACGTTTTTCGTCTGCAAGTTACGACAAATGATTACTGACAGGGCGCTATGTATTGTCACCTGCAGCCTTGTGTGTGATCTATGTTACCTTTGAAGGCACTCCTCACCATCTGTCCTTTTTATTAGCAGACTAGAAGTAGCTGTCTTAACATTTTGGTACAATAGATTACTGCATAAATTATTTTGTCCAGCCATGCAGTAATGTCCATATTTGTACTTAACTTTTGTCTTCACAAACACATAATTTTCCAGACAGTTCCAAGAGAGCTGGGATTAGCTCGAATGTGTGTGCTGTTTGCTAAGTATGTGAGAGAGAGCCTATTCTCTCTGAGGAGGGTTTAGAAGTTGTTTATTAGGACCTTTGACTGATTGCAAATAGGCCTCATGCAACAAGTAATTCTCCTCCTGACCATATGGCAGGCAGTGTGCTTGTGCTGTACACCAGCCTTCCTCATCACCCGCCTATCTATTTATGGTACAGCTGATTCGTTTAAAATGTCGCCTATGTTATGGCCACAGTGCCCTTCCTGAGGATTGATTGACTCACATTAGCCTGCACCAGATTAGCTAAGATATTAGTAAAGTGGGTTATTTTTTCCGATTAAGACCTCTGCAGCATACAATTGTGTGTGTATCTCCACTGCAGCTGCATTTGTCTTTGTTGGAAATGAAATGTTGAGTAAAAAGGGTACTAAATGTAGGGCTGCACGGTATTCAAAAAATCATATTGGGATTATTTTGACAGATATTACAATTGTGATATGATTCAGGATTCATTTTGTCTCACATTTTACCTTTTATTAAAAAATGTAGGCTTCAGGATATTTTGATTCATTGTGCAGCGCTGTGTAAATGCATGTTTTGTACATGGAGTCCATGTCTCTGTATTTGTCTGTACAGCAGACGAATGGCTGTTCCCATGTGTGTCTCTGCCTGCAGTCTCTAATGTGTGTCACTGATTTTTGTTTCCTTCCTGGTCAGTTTGTGTGCCATTTTTCTAATTCATTACAGCCCGTGTATACACATGTGGTAGCTTGAGTGTGGGCTGTGTTTCAGCAGAGGACCAGAGAGCGAGGAGCGGTGGGCATGAATCATTGATTAGTGTGGCCAGAAACAGCAGAGATCAGACATGGGAAAGTAATTAGGGTTGAATTGTTCCCTGCTCTCTCTCCTCAACTCCACATCTCCCTCCTCTGTTCATTTACATCTCCTGCCCTGTGTTTATTACAAGGAGTGTCTGTATGTACAGGATGCAGTGCGAGTCTTTATGTGCCCTTATCTACCAGTCAGTTACCTGTTTTTTAGATTAGAGTACCTAAAGAGCAACATCTCTGAGCCGGTCAGGCAGATATAGAGTGGCTGCTGCAGATAATGGATGCAGATTATTGTATGGTATGGATGCTGGTTTGATCAGACTGCCTTTTTGCACTCAGTCAGTCATATTTGCATGTGTTTAATAGTGATTGGCTCGACTAAACAAGCCATTTAAAGATGTCACCTTGGCACTTTTAGCAGTGAATCGAATGAAACAAGAAATCATCATCAACAGACTAATACAATTCAGCTTCAGTAGCCCAAATTTAATTGTTGCTGACTTAC